TTCCTCTCATTTTGCAGTCTTTCAAACGGCTCTATGTTCTTTTAGTTTCTCTCAAAAGAGAGCAACTGTGTTATAATCAGTCTCTGGTACAACTACCTGTGGCTTGTGTATTAAAGGGCCCTGCTAGACGGTCAGATAATTGAGGATAAAATGCAAAGAAGGGGTTGGAAATCACAGCGCAGAGATCGAGGATGTGAATTTCTGGTGCTCCCTAGGATGTGGGCAGAGGAGTGAGGCTGCAAGACCAGAGGGATAACTGTTGGTTTGCTGTTTTGTCATTTGGTCAAGACTGCATGACCGACAGTGTCTCACAATGCAACACATTAGCATTCAGCAATTATGTCTCGCTCTTGTTTAGGCTGTACACAGTCAGTTCCCCTTCTATGTTTGGAATCACGTCGCCCTTTCAAATCTCAAGGGCCATAGCATTATTTAGCAAGGCCTGATGCTGTGATGAATTAGTGAGTTTCTCTGAGTGTGCTCGGAATTTCATTATGCTAATTCCAACAGACGGCCCATCTGCAAGGAGCATCAAATAGGTTGTATTTCTGTTTAGATAAGCCTTTTTCTGCTCTGGGGAACATACATTTAATCACCTGTGCGTGTTTTAACACAACGTTTCACGGGAAGTCTCTGGCTGGGGCCGAGTTAATATTCTGTGATAGGAGCTGGCACCCGTTCTGAAATGTAAAAAAAGCTGTGCAGGTGGTGCCCAATAACCCATAGGCCTCTATCATCTCTGGGTTGAAAGCTGATTGAGGCCGGTGACTTTGAGTCTTATAGCAAGAGGGAACAAAAAGTTATGCCACCATTTCAAATCAACCCGAGTTTCAGCCCCCGCATAGGACACGCTTCAGTGGTCTGAGAAATTACAGGATATCACCCCTTCCAATTTTACCAGCACTGGACCAGGCTGTTGCAGGCTCCTGAAACAATTACCCCAAGGGGTGCGGAGCAACCTTGTTTATAGCTCATTGAGCATCCACAGTTCCGATTTAGCACAGGTAATTACAACATCGTTATCTCCTCCTAGGTCTCCACCAGAGACGTTATCACAAAAAAAAGATTCTTTTGGCTCTGTTGTTTGCCATTTGGACACTGATCAAAACAAACACGGCGTCAGCGTGCCCCGGCATCTCTCGGACTGGCTAATGTTCGTTCTGCAGGTGTCTGTGACCCGGCACAGGCCCACTCAACCAGAACGCATCCGTCACACTAACACACATCTGTCGTAGCGGTACGAGCCGCTCAGACGTGACACATGGCTGGTCTCTCTCCTTGAATGTCCCGCTCTGCTCGGGGAGGACAAACAAATATTCTGATTCGTCTCTAATCTGTAGTCTATCCTCACCACGGGATGCCATCAAGCTACCACATCAAGGACAAACACTCCACATGGGGGATATCCATTAGCCCAGCATCCCACCTCCACCATGGTGCGAGGGAGACGGGGCAGAGGGACACGCTCCAATTAGAGGAGGAGACACGGGGACTTTGCCCCTGACACGTCCCTGCTGCTCTGCAAAAGAAAGCGTGAACATACCTTTCTCATATAGAAGGACAGCTTCCCTTCCTGTCATTCCTCCTGCCTCAGGCTGTTGCTACTCACACACCTTGTGGAGCCAAACCATTTCAGATCCTGCTGTTTCTTTTCATATGCGCTGCCGCCCGGGTGGGCTGGCCTATGAGCTGTATTGGCCGGTCAAGCTGGTGTGTGTTTGAGTTTGGGAGGAATGTGTGTGTTATCTCGTGTGTGTGTGATTTTGCTCTATGTTAGTCGTGCGAAAACACTGCCTTGGGGTAGGAGTTCTTTGGCATGCATCTCTTGTCTGAGGCTTCCATCAACAGAAATCCATCCTACTCCACAGTGAAGCGCGTTTAGCAACGGGGTTGAGGTACATTGGATCAGCTTCACGCCTCATGCATTTGCATGCTGCATGAACACAATCTGCCGGAGCCCGATGGGAACTCCATTCATCCATTAGCATTGTTTTTAAACATTTACATAAAGGGAACCAATTTGCTACCATAGTCCATCGGATTGCTAATCAGGTGTGTGCACAGGGGAGGGAGGAAACAGAAGAAAGTATATACCAACAACACTCTGTCGTAAATATTTCATCTTTGTTCTATATGAATAAAACACAACGCGGCCCTGATTCAGCCATAGGACGGAATTCTGTTCACCTGTCCCATGTGTATCTGTCAATTTCAAAGAAGAGAGATGAACACTAAGATATGTATGAGCTTTTCCATTACACAACACTAAATCCAACTTCGCTGGTGGCCTGCAGAGTGTAGGTTTCGGCAAGAACGCTGAAAAATCTAGTGTTATTTAGATGATTATGCAGTGTATCAACTATGCATGAAGCAATTACACACCAGAGCCTTCGGGCTTGGACTGAAATTGAATGGATGAAGTCTTACAGTACAACACTCCCTCCTTCTACTCTGTCAACACATCCAGTCATTAACCCACAGGACTGCTATTTGTTTGTACAAACATCTGCATAGTCTGTTTGTTTCCCTGTTCACTCAGTCAGTCAAATTTCCTTCCTGTAATCCTCTTAGGGAGATGTCAGTGTCGTTTGACAAAATCTTTCAGGGCTTCCATGTGAGCTGAAGAGACATTCTCCATTAACAGACAAAGGTCAAAGGTAGAAGCAGCAGGATTGCAGCGACGGAGAATGTGAGACAAGAAATAAAGCAATGGATCTGCAGAGGCTTAGATTGATTGGAGTTTGAAGAGAGGGAGGAAAAAATTAAATTGGGGAGGGGAGGGTGGGAAGAAAGGAGGGTGGGAGAGGCTGGATCAGAGTGGATGGAGAGCAGGAGTCAGCATGATAGGGGCAAGCCACAGAATGAGATTTTTGCCCTGAGAGCACAGCCCTCAAAAGCTTATGGGGACATGCCATTACACAATTTTACCCTTAATATAATCCCAATTTCTTGGTGTGTCTGTGTGTGTGTGAGTGTGTGCACGCGTGTGGATGAGACAGAAGGACAGGGTGAGGACAGGGATGAGAGGGATATAAGAAACAAAAGCATATCCTTGCAGAACAGAATTAATGACTCGTCATCCGTTTCACTAGCTCCAACACTAATGATAGCTTTGAAGGTTAGGTTATCCGCTGCATTAGCATGATCTAAATGAATTTCGGGCCGTGATTGATTCGTTTGCAGTCTGTTTTTCATGTTGTCTCAGATGTGTTTGTGTGTGTGTCAGCCTCTCATTCTTCTATCAGAATCCCTTAAATCCCATTCTTTTCCTCTAATCCATCTTTCTCACTCTCTTCCTCCCACACTCTCTTTGCCCTCTCCTCCCTCCTCTTCCCCTACTTGTTCTTTATCTTGGCTTGCTCGATGGCGGCTGCCTGCATGGGGAGGAGCTGCATCTTCCGCGACTCAATTTGGCAGAGGCTTGAAATAAACATGTTGTGGTGGACAGACGCCTGAGTCCCGGTCCGGAGGAGCAGGATGGGGAGGACAGACTGACGTGGGTGGGCCCTGCTCCGGTCCTAACGTCAGCACAGACAGCAGCGGGCAGCTCCAGCCACTCGGCCAGATGGTCCAGAGTCGAGCTCTCGTCTCCCGTTTTTGTCAGATGCATCGGCTCGCTCTGTCTTGCCTCACCATGGCCCCCAGCATCATGTCACAGTGGAACCAGAGAAAATTAGCACCTAATTATAGGCTCCTCTCTCTGAAGAATGGAACTGGTGCTGGTGGAGTGTGTCACCGTGTGGAGGCTGGATGGTTGAGTCACAGTGGGACTGAGGAAGAGGACGTACAGAATACACACACAGGTCATGAAGTGATCACACACACATATGGGAGTGCACACGAGCAAGGGGGGGTGAACCGCCCTTCTTCCTGGTTGGTTTGTGCCTCAGCAGGGTCCCTCCTTCCTGTGAGGGAGCCGCAATAGAAACCACTTGTGTTCCAATCCATCTCTGATCCAACAGAATTAATTACACACACAATGGAAGCTGATGCCTCTGGTTTCCACGCTCTGCGGGCTCCCTTGTGGTGACGATGGTGTAGTTAATCTTCACCGTAAACAATAGATTTTTTTTTTTTGGGTGCATTTGATGGAAATGTAGATGCAAATGTGAGTTTGACTATGCTGCCATCTTGTGATTGCATCTGGACATGGACATGATGTATATTAGATGAGAAAATGAATACCCAGGACCCTTTTTAATAATGCAACACTAAATGAGGATGTTGAATTGAAGATAAATGAAGAATATGTAGGAGTTTCTGTGTCTGAAATAGATAACTGAGCTGTTTTTCTAAAAAAAAAAAAAAAAAATCTAGACCTTCAGAATCTACTTGCATCCAAAATACTGAGCACAGCCTCTGTGGTCAAAATGAAATCTTGACAGCTGCTTGTGGTGCAGCCAGCAATGGTCAGAAAACAACTGACTGCTGAAACTAAGAAAAAATCTAACTCTTGCTGAAGTGTCTGCCAGCACTGTGTGAAAAGAAATGAATCTATTCAATTTCATTTGGAAAGTTAGCCATAAATCTTTATTAGGACTGCAAAGACTTACCAAAAAGAAGGTTAATATAACAAAACAGTCAATTTCTCATTCTTAAACCATAAAAAACTACATCGCATCACACTTTAACACTGTTCATTACTACAGCAACATTCTGTATCCTTCATCTGTTTACACTAAAACAGAAAGCACAGGGAAATTTTATAGACCAGGCAAAAATATTTAACCAACTTCAAAACCACACTACTGCCTCTACTCCCCCCCCCCCTGCACATGGATTTATAGCTTTGAGTGTAAAATGCAATTTCTGGAGTTAATATAAAAACTTTGGCACAACAGATACCCTGCCACCGGTAAAGCTGTAAGCAAACATCTCTTCGGGGTTTCATTCACCAGCTGGGGGGGAGCTGGACTGATGAGTGCAGAGGATGACAAAAGGCGGCGGGGTCGGTGGAAGAGAAATGATGGTGGCGTTTGCGCAGTTTTTTTTTTTGTTGTTTAAGGGACGGCCACTTTGTAAGGGCTCCCAGGGACGTTGTCGTCGCCCCATTTGACAATAACGGTGTAACTGCCCTGGTCCTTGACAGTGTAGGTGACGTTGTAGAGCTTGTTGCCCATGTGCTTGACATACACCTCCTCACAGGGAGCATGTGGGCCATGCACGCCCACCATCAGCATGTTGGTGCCTGAACGGTGAGACAAGAGGGAGCATTAAACATTCTGTTGAAGAATGATTCAAATACGTAAGCAGCTATAAATTATTCAACCGCCCAAACATGTGTCTGATAGCTTTCATCTTGCATTTAAGACAGATATGTGTCCCGGCGGTCTCACCTGCTTTGCTGCAGTCTACGGTAAAATTGTTTTTCTGCCCGGTCACCGCCTTTGACAGTCCTGCACCACGACAAACCACCTGGCTGGCATCAGATGTCAATTTGGTTGCGGTGGTGGAAGAGGAGGCGCTGAAGGCCCCGCCCACTTTGGATGTCTTGGTAACAGTTTCAACTAAGACTGAGGAAGTCTCGTGGAGGCTGTGTCCCCCTGACAACCTTGTGCCTGCGAGAGAGAGAGAGAAAATGGTGAACTAAAAGTAACCCGACTCGGACATTTTACACACTAGGATGAAATATGTCAAACCAAACTCAAATAAAGTAAACTTCCAGGACTACAGTGTATTGTTTTTAACCTTGAAAATACCTCTTCTATTATATGACAAACAGGGAATGCGTATGCACCAGGCAGAAGCAGGAATACATTATCGTAGTACAGCAGAAACTAAGCCTTTACACAAGCTGTACACCAAGCAGCAAAAATGCCAGAACATTTTTCTCAAACTTCCAAACATCTTAAGAGGGACATTTGTTTCATAATCTAGACATTTGTCATCAACAGTTCAGATGGGAGAATGACTGTGAAGCAGACCTGTGATTTTGGCTTTGAAAGGGCTGCCCACAATGTGCTGTGGTCCGCCATATTTGATGGTGATGATATAGTTGCCGGGTGCCATGGGTGTGTAGGTGATCCTGTAGCCCTCGGGACATTCCCGACAGTCCATCTTCACCTTGGATGGACCATCGATGTTGACCGATAGAGTGCCAGAGCCTGCGTTAGAGGTGTTGACCACAAACTCTGATGGTACTCCTGGAAGAATAAAGACCACACACATGTGAACAGGACTGCTCATTTGTGGCACATATCATACTGATGTAAGTGGGATGTGTGTGAACCCAACCTGTAGTTCCTCCCTGTAGTCCTGGGCCATGTGCAGTCACCATACCCGGGTCTCCAATCAGGCCTGGATCTCCCACCCGAACATTAAAAGGACTTCCAGGGATGTGGCATCCGTTAAACTTGACATCTATGGCGTGAACGCCGTTGTCCCGTGGAATGAAGCGGATTGCAGTTTTGTCTGAAAGAATAAAAGGAGATTTAGCAACTCTGTCGTCATGCATAATGTTGAGTCGGAGAAGGAAAAAAAAGCATTATCTGATTCAGACTGAGGATGGTGCGTACCACTGTCAATTTCTGAGACGTAACATTCTTCAGAAGAGCCAGACGGTGTGTGAACTTTGGCATCAACTACACCTCGAGCCCCATTGCGCTGCACCATGAAGGATGCCTCCTGATTTACTTTTAAGTCTTTCTCCTGAAATAAATGAAAGGAAAACAAAAAGAACAGAGAGAGGTCAGAGGGGGGGTTTACAACGAGGCGTTTCATTGTTTCTACCCCACGTGTGGATGAGAGGCCCAACAAGACAGTGATAGGATAACATTTTTAATGTCATTGCTCTCTGCTTTGCCTCAAGTGCTGGAAAAGTGCTCTGAAGTGGCATTGCCGTTTGCTAAAAATAAATAGTTTTTTTGCATTGGTGGAGATACTAAAAGCAAATAAAACAACATCTTTATCTTATACTCACTCTGTTCCTGCTGCCTCTCAGGCAGAAACACAATCTCTTGGACTAGTTGATCAACAACATAGCACAGATTGTGCTGCCCCACATTAGCAAGGGACAGTTAATCCAGTCCTTCATCACTGGCCAGCATCGCAGTATTACAGTCATGTATACTGCTCCAGCACTGGCATACAATAACACTTCAAGGGCAACGTGTGATTAGACGGAAATATCCACAACCATCACGTCACTAGACGTGCTATCTCCAGTGCAGCCTTGATGTGTTGCATATGTCTATATTTTGTGTGCATGACTGCTGCTCAGGCTGTGCAAACAATTAATGTGACTGTTATCAACGGTGCGTGTTTGTGTGTCCTCACCTGAAGGCTCGTCACAGTAAGCCTGCGGGCTTCATCTGACAGTGTAGCAATTGGAACGATGAAGGGGCTGTCGGGGATGTGCTCGTTGTTGAATTTGATTGACACCTCGTAATCACCTGGGGAAGGGGACACGTTATTTTTCTTTCATGATCAAATGAACTGCAGGAAGCACTGAAGATCTACAGAGAAGAATAACCTTAAACAGATAAAGATTAGCATGTTCAACTGGCAGTGCAGGAAAATGATTTGTTTGCGGGTGATAAAAAAGTTCCTTACCTGGTTCTTTCACTACGTAAGTGACACCGCAAGACCCATCTTTCCTGTCCTCAAAAGAGATTTCAGCCTTACTAGGACCTTCTACTGCAATGGACAGCCCACCAGCACCTGCCTCTCGAGTCCAGATACTAAATTCAGCTGCAAAGTATTAAAAAAAAAAAAGATTATTGTATCTTAAATACCAACAAAGGATCAAAATGGAGAATCGCGAATGTGAGAGTGAGACTCCATATCCCCAGCATGAACTTACATGGAGCTCCAGCTACACCTCTTTCCAGACCGGGGCCTCCAGCTCGGACCTTGTGGGAACCTCCTTCACCCATGGGCCCCACAGTGAACTGGAAGGGGCTTCCTGGGACGTGTTGGCCTCTGTACTTAACGTTGACATTGTGAGGTCCAATTTCCTGGGGGATGAAGCGCACACTGTACGTGCTGCTGCCCCCGTCCACAATGTCGGCATCCACTGTTTTCCCACTGGGGCTGGTCACCTGAGCTGTCATAGCCTGGGAGCCACTCTCCACCGCTGAGGAGATGAAACGGCCAAGTCAGATGCAGTCCAGATATTTATCAATTATGTAGAAATTTTAGTTTCTATGCACCTACCCTCAGGTCTGGCTGTGATGCCGGCAAAGCTGCTGAGGCTCTCTCGGCCCAGAAAATCTCCAAAAACATCTCTAAAAGGGCTTCCTCCTCCTCCCACCTGTGTGCTCTCCTCCACTCGTACCTCCCTCTTGGTCTCTCCACCGCGGGTTTTGCTGATCTCTGTGCGTTCCGTGCGCGTATAAGTGTGGCTGCTGCGTGTGAATGTCCTGGTTAGCCTTTCCTGAGCTGAAACCATCTGGAACCAGTTTCCTGCAGCAAGGAAAATGCCATGAGAATACAAAGTCGCATGTGCAGCCATGTAATTTATTGTACAATAGCTGACCGCTGCCCTCTAACCGTTTCTGACCGGTTTCTTGAACTCACCAGGGATCTTGAGGTTAAGACCGCATGTGCTCCCCACTGATGCAATAGAAGATGCCTGTCTCTTTCTCGTAATACTCTCCTTGATCCTTCCCTCTCCAGTCACCTTCACAGTGAATGGACTGCCTAGAGATTGAAAAAAGTAGATTGAATTTATTCAAATGTGTACATTGTTGTTGGTGTTTGAAAAGTGTCCAAGGAAAATATTCTAACCTGGAATATGTTTTTCTGCAAACTTGATGTTGACAGTGTAACTCCCTGGTTCTGTTGGGCAGTACGTCACTCTGCATGTCCCATCCTCCACATCTTCGCAGTTTATATCCACTTTGCTTGGACCCTCGATTGACAATGCCAGGCCTCCATACCCTAAGTACAAAAATAGCAGATTAGCCTTCTATTTGGTCCAGTTGTGTGCGCTGAACTAAATGTGCCACCTGAGATTTTCTAAAGTTTACCTGCATTCCTTGTATCCACAAAGAATTCCGCCATTTTGAAAGTGTGGGCCTCCACCAAGCCTTTACCGAAAGCCTTTACTCTGCTGGCCTCGCCGATCTCAGACTGGCCAACCATGATTTTAAAAGGGCTGTTGGCCACGTGAACGCCACTCTTCCTGACACTCACTTCATGCTCACCGACCTCCTTAGGAGTGAAAGAGATGCCTGTGAAGGTAAAAAAAAAAAAGAGAGAGAGCAATCACGACAGTGTAAATGAAAAATATAACCATTAAATCAATCATCAATTGAACACTGTCTTATCCAGGTTCTATTATTTATGTTATTTTGTGTTTCTGATGACTGAGTTTCTCACCGAGGTGTCTGTTGGGCAGCTTCTTGAGCAGGCAGGGTTCTTCGTTGCCTGATGGGGCTCTGATACTGGCAGTCAGAGAGCTCAGATCTGTCTCTGCAATCTTCAGGGACACATCGGCGGCTGTGCCAACATTTAGCTGGGATGTTCTGGTTATGGCGTCATCCCCTAGCATAAAAAAGGGCCATTTAGATGTTTGTTTACCTATAAAGGCTTATTCACTCCCAGATTCAATATAACTGTATATTGAATTACAAAAAGAAATGTGCAGGACACATGAGGAATTTCCTCACCAGTGATCTTGGCAGTAAAGGGGCTGCCGGGAATGTGCTTGTTGTCAAATTTGACAATGATGTTGTAGTCTCCGGGAGCTGTGGGCAGGTACGACACAGTACAGGTGCCATCTTTGTTGTCTTTGCAGGTGATCTCTGCTTTTGAAGGACCTTCCACTGCTAGTGACAGGCCGCCTGGGAGGAAGGGGAAAGAAAAGAATGTAATTCTTCATTTCCAGCTGTCTAGTTTTGAAAACCATTTCACAAGGTCATAAAGGGGAAATTATGTTTTTGTTTTACCTTCTCCTGCATTCTTGGTGACCACTGTAAAAGTGGCAGCTTTGTTGACCATGCCATAACTCAGACCCGGGCCATAGGCAGTCACCACTCCGCTGTTTACAGCATCCACAAAGAACTCCAGAGGACTTCCTATAAAGGGAATTAAGCACTACTCAGACCTTCACTATAATTTTGACCAAGAACAAAAAAGGACTGAATCACTTTGGACCCTGTCAGCATGATGCACCGCCTACCAGGAATGTGATTTCCTTCATATTTGATGTCCATCTCATGCAGACCTCTCTCTGTGGGCTGGTACTTAATTGTGATGGTGCCATCTTTGTTGTCTGTGATGTGAGGGCGAGCAGTTTTGCCAGAAGGCATCCGCACTTCACCTGGAGGGGCAAAGATGTTAAATTGTCGGTCACCTAAAAGATAGAAATGTGTTGCAAGAATGTGTATATACACTGTGTGTACTCACCCGTGATTTCTCCTTGCTGAGGTGTGAAAGGGACTAGGAAGTTAACGGGACGGAAAAGTGGATCAACAGTATCACGGGGAACCACTGGCTCATTTGTTGCCTGTAAATACAAAAAGTATTTCAGTAACTGGTTTTACTATTTCACAAATGTAGCAGCTAGTCAATATTCCTTTACTCACCACCACTTGGAAGGGACTTTTTGGAATATTCTGCCCTCCAAAGCGGATGGTAATTACATATTTTCCAGGTTCAGGGGCAGTGTAATAAATGTCAAATGTCCCGTCGTGATTTTCCACCACATCCATGTCCAACTCCATCCCCTGTGGGGTCAGCACCTTGCAGGTCACCTTGCCTTTCCCAGCAGACTTAGCATCCACAGTGATGACTGTATCCTCTGAGGTCTGCAGCTTCTGGAGATTTGCTGTCGATGGGAGAGACAGAAGGTGAGATGTGCTGCAAAAATGACAGATTTCTGATTGCAATGTAGCACAGATTTACAAAAAAAAAAAAAGATTTGGTGACTCACACACTCCATGTCCTCCAATTGAAACTGCAAATTAGAAGAGCATAGTTGTGAATATACAGAAAGAATAAAATTTGTTTTATTATTCATCAAAACCATAACTGATATTTTGGATTTCTACCTGTGAGGCGACATTTGCTTGCATCTCCTGTGGGGAGGGACTGGATGCGGTATGGGGAGTAAGGAATCTCATCTCCTCCATATTTGATGGTGATAGTGTAGGGCCCTGTAGAGTCAGGCACGTAGGACACAGTGTAGGTGCCATCCCTGTTGTCTTGGATGGTTGCATTCTTTGGCTTGCCCTCTGGATCCTGTTAATGGACATAATACAGTTATTTAAAAGATCAGCGTTGGGTTAAGACCATTACTGTGTAAGTTACTGTCTAAATGGAAACTGGACCTACCAGAATCTGCACAGTGAGCAGTCCCTCCCCAGCATCACGAGCATCAATAGTGAATTCAACAGGCAGGCTTGCAGGCACTCCTTTGGTGTCCAGACCAGGGCCACTGGCGCGCACCTTACTGGCATCATGCCCAGGCTGAGACATTACCTTGAAAGGGCTGTTTTAGAGAGAGAAAATAGAGGGTAATTAAAACTCCAGTCTGTGAAAAGACAGAAATAAAGACAAAAAAATGCTGGAGCACACTTTGTCTTTCTAATATCCCAACAGATTAAACAGAGTTAATTAAAATGTATCTGAACATGCTGCCAGGATAGGTGTTTATTAAAACTCATAAATCTAATAGCGTACCTGTGCGGGACCTCCTGATCAGCATATTTGACGGCTACAGTGTAAGGCCCATCCTGTGCAGGGGTGTAGTGAACTGTGTGGGTGCCGTCACCATTGTTCTTCACACCAACAGGCTCCACAGTACCTGTAAACAATGATAAACAACATACTTGCTTCTTTCCCTCTTGAAGAATGTAAAATTGTATGCACTTTCATCTCCACGCAGCCTGTTCTCACCTGTTGGGCCGTAGAGTTTGACATCAAGTGGGGCCTGTCCGGCCTGGGTACAGTCTGCCGTGAAAGTCTGAGGGACATGGGCTCTCACTCCGGTCCCCAGACCAGGACCAGAGCACTTTACCTTGCTGGGGTCAACTGGATCCTTCACGGGCACACGGAACGGACTACCGGGGATCGGCTGACCTCCATAGTTAATATTTACATCATAGTCTCCTGGAGTGAAGGGGACATACTCCACGCTGCAGCTGCCGTCTTTATTGTCCTTACAGGATATTTTGGCCTCTGAGGCTCCCTCAATAGTCAGACCCAGGCCTCCTGTACCCGCACCCCTAAGAGAGAAGCAAACACTTTTTAAAAAATCTGTTTAGTTCCTCTCCCTTCTTTCTCTTATCTAAATCTATATTTGCAAAATTTGTTAAGGCAATAAAAGCTAATAAATTCCCACATCAACATATTACATCTCATTTATGCGCTACCTGGTCTCCACAGTGAAACAGTTAGACTTGTTCGTTATTCCTCCCTCCAGACCTGGCCCATAAGCACGAACTCGGGTTGGATCACATCCCTCTACCACAGTGACTCTGAAGGGGCTCTTTGGAACAGGCGCGTCGTCGTACAGCACTTCAATCAGATGCATTCCTGCACAGAAGCAGATTGATCAGTTGATTATCCGAAGTCACACCTCTGTGTCACAGCATGCACTAAGCAGACAAAAATGTGCTGATACTGCTTCTTGCTTTTAATTATGAGCCATGCCGGCATCCCTTTTTGGGAGATAAACATCTGTTTATTTATAAAAGACACTATCTAGAGTGCAGACGCTCTGGTGAAAGTACAAGATGTTACATCTGTTCTCGATTCATTATTCCTTTGCAACATTTTTCTGACAGAGTGCTCTCCGTAGGCCTATAAGCCATATTCCCTGCCACACTGCTGTGATATCAGACTATGTCTGGTGGTGGAGAAGTGTTCTGTGATCTCTTTGCTTTGTGCTATAGGTCTCTATTAATATCCCCTGTCATTCTCTGGATGTAATGCCGCATGCAAGCAGCCTTCAGCACACATACCTGCCTGGTTAAGAGCTTCTGTTCCAGAGCACACTATTTATAAAGCAGAGCCTGTCTGCCACTCTGCCTCCCAACTCTCTGCCCCTCAAATCACTGCTCGACTGCATCATCCTGTATTTATACCGCTCTCCCTCTTGCTCTTTCTTTTCCCACTCCCCTGCTTTATTCCCAAATGATCCCCAGCAGAAGCACCTGTTAGTAATTTTCTGTCCTTCTGCAGGCAACCTTTCTTTGACTCATTGTCTTGATAAAAAATTATTAAATGACATTGTGATTCACATTCCTCAGCTCCTTCATTGTTGTCAGGCCCTGACTTTATAAATGCATCAATCAACATTTTTAAATGACCTCTCGTAATGCTCTTACCATCCTCAAAGGCTGTATACTCCACTCTGTAGGTGCCGTCTCCCTTGTCAGTGACGTACGTCTCTGTGCTGGCACCAGAGGGGTTGATAATTTGAACCTTTACGTGACTGCCTCCACTCTTTTTGAGGGCACGGGCATCAACAATGAAGTGGGTTGTGACTTCCCTGAGGACCCCTTGAAACAAAAAAGGCACTTTAGGTGATTTTGTTGCCTGAGGCAAACAGACTCAGAATACTGCAACATCATTTATCGTTACTGACACTTATTTATGTAAACTCCAGTGGGGACTCCACTGGAATCGTTTGCTCAATTCAGTTCTTTTTTTTTTACATAAGATGGATTGAAAATTAACTTGAGGTCATTCTGTCCAGTGTTACCTTTCGGCTCCACTCCAGGCCCATAGACATGCACCCCACTGGTGTCCACAGAGGGTTCCACCTGCAGGACCTTTGGAAAATGAGGAATGGCATGGCCGCCATATTTGATGGTGATGGTGTGTGAGCCGTGGAAGGACGGGATGTAAGTGACAGAGAAGGTCCCCTCTGAGGTTTTCTGGATGTGCACCTCAGCCTTAACTCCAGTCTCTGATATAATCTCGATGGTGAGCTCAGCGTCGCCGGCTCTGGTGCAGTCCACGGTGAAGGTTGCAGGCTCACCTGCCTTGGCCCTCTCCAGCCCTGGCCCACTGGCCGTCACCTTGCTTGGATCCAAGGCGGGGCGAACGGCAGCTTTGAAAGGAGAGCCAGGAATGTGCTGCTCTGCAAACAGGATGTTGATGGCGTACTCGCCGGCCTCAGTGGGAAAGTAGGAGACCGAGCACGTGCCATCACCATTGTCTTGGCATTCGATCTTCGCCTCACAAGGGCCCTCCACTGTTAGGCCCAGCCCACCAGCACCAGCTCCCGTTGTGTCAATTGTAAATGGAGCTGGTTTACCCACAATGCCTCCCTTTAGGCCTGGACCATAGGCTCGCACCTGTGAAGTAAGAGTCAGAGCCAGTTTTTGAAAAATGTCCTTAAAAACGTATTCTTGAAAGAAAAACATCAACATTTCTTTCAACTATGAGGCTGCGAGTTAGGAATGAGTGCAGAGCTAAGTGTGGCTTTTACCTTTGACGGATCTGCTGGCATGACTGCTTCAAGCCCAAAGGGACTACCCATTACAGGGTTCCCATCATAGCTGACATCCACCTTGTACGGTCCCTCCTCAGGGGGGATGTAGTTCACATTGTGAGTGCCTTTGGCTTTGTCTGACTCCAGTTTGCATGGGATTTGTCGGCCTGAGGGAGATGTCATCTTCACACCTACGTTGCCCAGTCCTCCAGCTCCCTTTGTGTTAACTGTGAATTCCTGGTCCTTCCCAACCTCCACTTCTGCAAGTTAGATATCATTGAAAAACTTAACCAACATAGATGGTTATTTTTAAGGGTTTGCTGTCATATAGTAATTTACTTACTGGTGTCTAGCCCCTCCACTTTCACTTTTCCAAGATCCAAAGCTGGTGCCACTGTGATATTGAAGGGACTTTTTGGAATAGGATCTCCTCCATGTGTCACAGAAATTGCCATGCTGCCCTGGAAAAAAAAAAAACAGAAGAAGAATGAATAATTACTAGAGCGAAGTGTTATCATGAATGATGTAACTGTCAAACAGAGGCTTGCTTGTACCTGTTGAAGAGCTGTGTACTTCACAGTGTAGGAGTAATCGTGGTTATCGATGATCTCAAAGTCACGAACTGCCTCTCCAGGGCCTGACGCTGCAAATTGGACCTCGGGTTTGGCCTTTCCAGCTCCTTTTGTGTAGACGGTGAAATGTGTTGGAGTGCCCACCTCCACACCTGAAAACACACGTGCATTTTGTAAGTGCTGCCAGAGCTAGTGGAATCAGCTCATTTGCATGACATCAAAGCACTGTAGTGGATCAATTACGGCAGAAGATGTTACAAACATAAATAGCTGATCATACCAACTATGCTTTTCAGATGCTTTTCTTACCTGTCTTGTTTACTCCAGGGCCCTCTGCTCTCACCTTCCCAGCATCATGGGATGGGTCCACCTTGACTTTGAAGGGACTGATTGGAATTTCCTTTTTAAAAAAATGTTTAAAAAAAATATATAAGATCAGAATTTAAAGTATGATCATTTATTTTTGATGTGATCCCACCCAGTTCCACCTTAACTTGAAAGCTTATTTTTACCTGGTCAGCAAAGAGAACCATGATGGTGTATTTTCCTGCACCGGGCGGCATGTACTTGACAGTGAAGGTGTCATTGTCATTCTTGATGATGTCAAAGTCGATGTCGGCTTCAGCGGGGCCAACCACCCCTGGGGCACACTTGATTCCAATGCTAATATCTCCTAATGGTGCATAACAATAAGCCCCATGCACGAAGGTTACTCAAAAGCAGTTGATAGGAATAAATTCATGCTGCTCCTGCTGCATGGAGCTGGATTTTTGTCTCAAATATCTAGCTGCTCTGTTCTCTCCATTCTATTCATTTCTCAAATTTAATTGGAGGAAGCACGTTGTTTGGTCAACCGAACTCAAGAGACTTTTTGCAGCCACTCACATCATCTACTTGAGCAGGCTCACCTTGACCAGCTTCACTGCAGTCCACAGTGAAGTATGTCGGCTCATTAGCTTTGAGCCCCGTCTTCTCCACTCCAGGCCCGTAGACCTTGACTTTGTCAGGATGAGAGCCCTCTCCAACCAGCACCTAATGAATTCACAGTGTACTTGAGGCACAAGCGGCGGACTGAAGTACGACTGCTGCAGTGCTCTTAATTAGTCTGTATTTTGTCAATATTTCGTACCATCGTACTGGATTGACATAATCTTTTGCATGTCGACGCATGTATCTTACCCTGAAGGGGCTGTTTGGCACGTTGACCTCCCCCCAGGTGATGATGATGGTGTGTTTAATGGGCTTGACAGGTGTGTATACACACACAAATGTCCCATCTCCCCTGTCAGTTATTTTGATGTTGATGGTGCAACCTTCAGCATCCTTAATAGATACAAAATTCTTTCAGTTTTCATTCATGTTACCCTAATTCAATATAGATTGTCGATTCCTATGAATAAAAGAAATTATTTTCCACTTTATACCTGTGCATAGATCTTCAGGTGACCTTTCCCAGCCATTCGGGCATCGATGGTGAACTCAGTTGGTTTATTCACGATCACGCCACTTGGCTGCAGGCCTGGCCCGAACGCTTTCACCTGCATTCCACAGACATTTCATTGAGTATATAGACCAGAGGTTACTTTTTTTTTTTCATTTTTAATGAGCGGGCATTACCTTCTCAGGAAAAACGTCATTGACTGCCGGGAGGATGTGAGCCATGAAAGGACTGTCCTTGATGTCTTCATCATCACAGATGACGTGGACAGCATAGTCACCGGGCTCAGTGGGCCAGTAGCGCACGTCACAAGAGCCGTCTCCCTTATCATCGCACTCGATTTTAGCCTGCGATGGGCCTTCAATGGAGAAGCCTGAACCGAGGGAGAATTCAAACAGTTAAGATTTCAGATTTGAAAAAAAGGCTGGAAATCTTGTGTCGCATACATATAGCTCACCCAGGGTTCCCACTTCAGTGCCGATGGCCTCGACCACAAAGTCAGCAGATTTTCCCACCATGCCAGTCTTCAGACCGGGACCCCAGGCCCTCACCTTTTGAAAACCTGCCTCCTCGCCCACGTCTACTTCGAAAGGGCTGCAACACATGACACCCGAGAACAGATCGATTTTACCCGCTGTACTTATGACAGTTTGTTGAAGAGGAGCTGCAGGAAACATTTAGCACCCTACCTGCGTGGGATGGGCTGGCCTCCCCAGGTGATGCTGACTGTGTATTTACCGGGCTTATGAGGATAATATTCACACTCATACACTCCATTTCCTGCATCCCGCACTTTCACTTGCTCCTCTGCTCCAGCTGAGGAGGAATATTACTGTCAGTATGGATTTTTTCACGCATTTCTTTAGAGCTTTATCATATGCATATGTGGATGCAACCTGCAGACATAAAAGCGCAAACAAAGGCAATACCCCCAGAAATGTACAGGGAGGGGTGAGGAGTGATGCAAAGAACAGAGAGCTGTCTGACTCACTCGGCCCTTTGACTGAGACATTCAGTTCACCGCTGCCAGCTCCTTTGGTGAAAACTTTGAAGTCTGCAATCTCCTTTACTCGCACACCTTTAGGCTGGAGTCCTCTGCCAGTAGCTCTGCATGCATTTGGGTTTATGGCTGAAAGGGAAAGAACAATAAGTGTAAAAGAAAAATGTATTTCCCACAGGATAAAAGTTGAAAGTGGCCGGCAGTTCAAAGCAGTGTTAGTAACAAAAAATTCCATTTCACTTGGGATTCCTTACACATAGACACACCTGCAAATGAGAATGATGCTTCTTGCATGACACACATGACACAAAGTACACAATGCTGCAGAAGATACTGAAACGTTACAGTGCATCAAGGGCGCATCTGACAACATTTCAGTAAGTCACTCCGAAATGTTGAGGGCAGGCTTTAATTTGAGGGGCCCATAGCGCAAATTCAGACAAACTAGTCAACAGCACAAGCAAAGATATTCAACAAGGAAGAACAAAGAAACGCAGAAACTGCGAACGCAAGACTGCAAACTGGGACGATCTATAGTCTATCTGTACACCAATGCATCTCTCTCAGAATGTAACTAAACCATCAAGCAGCAAGAAGATGGAGCAGGCGACCAAGCACGGCACTGGGCCAGAACACCCTAAACGTAGGGAAGCGCAGAGGGGGCAGGCCCTTGCATAGGAGGAGGAGGGATGGCGCTGAGGTGGATCGACTGAGCAATGAGCACAAGCTCCTCCTATCAGCCGTATACTAACTTGGACGGCCAGGTTTTGGGGGTGGTGCCCCCTTCCCACCCTTCACTCCAGGAGGGGTGCGCACTGACTGAGGAGCTATCTGGAGTGGAGCTCCCAAGGAAGGAGCAACAGTTGGAGCTAGAAATGACAGACAGGAGGGGTTACAGTCTGCGCTGGGCGGCTGCTCCCAGGGGAAACACAGATGAATGTGGACCGTGATGGACAAATTACCCCGACGCAAACAGCAGATTACCACTCGTCTTGACAGTAATTCACGACACAGACCCGACGGCTTACCCTCTGCAATGTTGACTTTGAAGGGGCTCTTGGGGATCTCCTGGCCGGCAAACAAAATGTGAATGGTGTGAGGCCCCTCCAGCACGGGGCGATAGGTGCAACGGAAAACGCTGTCGCCCTTATTCTCCAGGACGAGCTCCACTGTGTCCTTTTTGCCCTGAGGATCAACGATGACCACGCTGATGTCGCCATGACCAGCACCTGAACAAAACGGGAAAAGATTAACACGAAAACAAAAACAAGTTGCTGCCCTATGATTAAAAAATTAACTGCATTCTTACTAACCAAAAAAAAAAGTGGAAGGTGGCTTTCCACACTTACCAGCTGTGTAGATGTCAAAGTAAGTGGGTTTGTTGGCCACATTGCCTGTAGCCTCCAGACCTGGTCCTCTGGCATGGACTTTGCTTGGGTCACCCATCACCTTTGCCACATTCACAGTGTAAGGACTCTTGTCAATGTCCTGACCCGCAAATAACACCTTCACCTAAAGTTGAAAATGAAGAAAAAAGACCTTTAAATATATATTTTTTTCATATTATGATGAGTGATGTTCTGAATGCATATCAAATCCATAATAACCTTGTGGACCCCCTCCACTTTTGGAACATAGGTGACTGTATAGGTTCTGTTTTTGTCTTTGTTGGGTTTAACTTTCGCCTGGAGAGTCCAAAGAAAGAACAAGAGAGAAGGTTATATCACTTAATGGATACCATATGTCATGAAACCTTGCAAGCTTTCATTATGTGAGAAAAATCAACTATGTTGGGACCCCTGCACTTTTTTTACTTGCCTCTTCTTTGTGTCCTTCAGGGTCCTCCACAAACACAAGAACCTCACCACTGCCAGCCTCCAGAGTTTCCACGGTGAAAACGGCTGGTTGCAGAACTTTGTTGCCATGGGGCTCAATACCTGTTGTGAGAACACACAGACACAGGTCAGGCAATTCATTTATAAAGATACAGGACTTGTTGGAGAGAACATTTAAATAGAAATCTATAATGCAGATAGTTTACAAATTGTGCCAAAGTTCAAGTTTATATACTTGTATAAGTAGCCAATGTGTATTCAAGAAAAGCTGTGAGGCTCAAACAGAGCATTGATTGTTTTCAGAGAGGCTTGGGAAAAATGCAATATATGTAGAAGTCAGAAGCAAAGTAAAACACCAAATAAAAAGGGTTTTAAACTTTTATGTAAAAGAGTATCTTTTCTGAATAAATCCATAACCACTTTGATATTCAGGACTGGTGATGTACAGAGCATTTATTATTAATGTTAGCGCTTTGTGTGAACTCCTGGTGTTCATGCTAGACTTCCAACCTGGTCCATAGGCTTTGGCTTTGTCTGGAAATAGTTGTTTCGGCTTGAGAGGAGCCCCAGGCTTCAGTTTTGCCTTGGGGAACTGAGACAGGTATGTCATCACTGAGTGCTCGTCTACGTCTGGGTCCACAATTTCCTCTGGAGCAATAACCTATAACAGAAAATGCTCTGGCGGTTAATCATACAAACTGTCTGGGATTTTTTTTCTCATTACATTTTCATTGAAAAGAATACCTTTAAGACATAATGCAGTGACTAATTCGTTCTTCCCTTTATTAAGCACAAAGCAATGGGAATTAATGTGGATTAGACGTATTCAGTATCCGCACCTCTGACTCCTCTATCTATTGCAGCACTTGTTTGCCTGTCTATCACACAGTGGCACAAAGCTGTACACCACAGTGGTTATATTTAACCTCAGGACTGCAGGGTTAAGCCAGTGAGGGGGGGGGGATTTTATCCTGAGCCAGTCCTCTCCCACATCTCCTTAACAACACCACATTGGAATCCAGCCCCAAAAGGCCTACAGAGCCATGACATACACTGCCAGATATCTATCCAAGCCTAAGCCTCATGGAGAATAAGTAACCCTGTGTCTTAGATAAACAAGTAAACAGCCTTCATGGTGCATATTATAACACAGATGGGACTGGCTAAATTGCACGCTTGGTCTGTTCGCATTGTTATTCTGATGAGCGAAGGCATATTTACGCCTTTGTTTCAGGCACTGGCTCAGAAGGTGTTAAGACATCTCGCACCTCCATAATTTCACAAATTCTATTTTAAAAGCAACACACACATGACTTACTCAGAGCTGCTATAAAATAGAAGAATTTAAGGAGGGAGCCGACTAATAAATGTTTCATTTCAGTCTCTTTAATCCTATTTCTGGAAAAACATTGCACTACCCCTCAAACACAGTACCAATTATTTTTTTCAAATCCCATTTGTCTCATAGGCATATGTATTGAGGTATGTTTGGAAATGAAAACCGACACAGTGTGGAGTTCATTTGTCCTTATGTTGAATCTATCCATTAAGTGTTAACTATTACAGAAGAGAGGAAACACTCTTGTTTCCGTCTGTTGCCCTGTCTAATGAGATCAGCCCCTCCCCGCTGTTCTAAAACAAATGCGCTTGTTACTTGCGATCCACCTTACCTGAGGCACACCCAACCAGTCGTCAGCCTGTTGCATGGCTTCTCTGGCATTCTGCACAGGCTGGTTTGGGTCCCAGTCTGCCCAATCAGGACACAGACCTAGCGGAATGCAAGAGGGCAATTAGGCAATTGTGCACTGAGGAGCGCCGGCCAAGGGGGGGAAGGCAGTTGCTAATAATAAAGCCACTTAGGCTGTCAGTGCTATCTGTGCAACGCTTCTGACTACAAGAGGGTAAAGGCCTTACCAATGCTATGCCGCTCCTGTGAATTCTATGTGTGACAATGAATGTCTCTATTGACTGCTCACAGGAGGCATCTTCGACTGACGCAGTGGTGCTTTCACTGGGGCTGAGACTCGCCTGCTCTGTGCTGCTAATGCCTAAATTGGATTAGTGTTGGCAATGGCGTGGCCACTCACTCAAAAGCCCCGTGGAAGCTCCCCGCAAAATACTTTTATCCAATTAATTTAGACATAGAGCCATTGAATAAACAAGCTTTTTTTTTGCAGGCATGTGGCAGAAAGTGTGAAGTGACAGTATAAAATAAAGCTGTGTAAGCCTTGTTACGGACTGCGATGCTGGCTGCCATTGCGGACAGCAACTAAAAAGCTGTCGAAAGCCAAAAGCGCATAACACAAAAGTATCTTTCCTGCGCTAAATTCTCTGCCTGTTTTTTGCATTGGAGATGAATTAAACCTGAGCCTTTGTGTTCCAGAGCAGACCTGGTTTCACCCTGCTGTTTGGTAATAGCCGATGAGACAACAGAGCCTTGTATGGTCAATGTTGCAGCACACTGTTTGAAAGATGTGTCTCCTCAGATCAATGGCTCATGTAAACACAGTTAAACACGGTGTTCCACACTTGATACTCCCCCAGTTTTTACTGTGAGGAGAAGCGGTAGGAGAGGACCCTCAAATGTTCATTGTTGGAAGCAGAAACCTCAGCTGGCAGTGACTCAAATAGTGGCCTTGTGATCTTTGTATCTGTGGCTTAGGCACCTCCCCAGGACAGATTACCCTGCATTTTGTTGTGTGGGCCAAGCATCCCCCTTGGTGGAGGAGGAAGAATGGTGCCCAAATTTGGGGGTGTTGTGTAGCAGGACGGCTATAAACACTAAACCCAAGCTTGGGCCTCAGGGCCTGAAACACTGAGTGAGATGGCTTTAGTCATTGTGGGACAGCTGGCACGGATAGCCACTGGCCATTAAAAGTCCCTCCACAGAACACTGATATAACCTACTCTTCAGGGAAAGATCGCTGATCTGTCTGATATCTAAATCCAGATGTATAATGGTCTGTTTGAGTGCATTCGAAAAATGTTAGATGTTTCTATAACTACAAGAATTATGATGCAAAAGTATACTGTTGCTGATATAAAGACTGCCAAATTCCTGAGCCCAACCCCCATAGTAACCCGGTGAAAAGTCCATATACAAAAAGCCTGTCACCAGGAACAGCACATATTCTGACTCAGCACTTGTAGAGTCAGCTGACACCACTCCAAGCTTCTTACCAGGGGCACAGTTGTCGACCAAAGCTCCCAGAGCTTTTCCGTCCCGCCAGTCACGGTTGAAATTGTTGATGGGCAGCTGGGGCACCTTGTTCTGTATCCAGCCCAACAGGCGTTGTTTGGGGGTCAGTTTTTTCGTCTCCTCATCGTCCTCGTCGTCCCACATGGGCATTGAGATTGAGTAGTGGAGGATGAGAGTCCAGATAAGACCAAGAATCAGCTTCAGGTTCCCATCTACAATGGCTTTGCTATCTGTAGATGGACAATGGAGGAGATTTAGTTCAACAGGGTTTAAAACATACAAAACAACATACTGACAACACAACACAATCTAGCTGCATTTCCCAATGAATATAGACTGGTTGTCATTCATTTGTGTTATCACTGAAACTAAGATTTAATGTTTCAAAATGTTTTTCCTGCAACTTTTCAGGCTGGACCTGGCTATTCTAGGCTGAAATATAAACAATGATGATTGACTGCTGAGAAGACAAGAATCTAATGCTCCTCACTGCTTCCCCCGAGCCCCTTTCTTTCAGACAGCTGTCTGGCTGAAGACCCCTGACAATCTGTCAGCCAGTCACAATGGTCCTCTGAAGACTGTGACAGCTGAGGATATGTGGAAATGGATCCCTCTCTGCATTATTACCACTTGGATTTCAATTACCACCTCAACTTTGCGGCACTTGAGTGAGATTAATCAGAATAGGTGGAGATTAGATCCAAGCAGCTCATTTCTCTGAGGAAAAGTTGATCAAACGCACCAGTTAAAATCCACTCTAATTTTGACACTTAGTCATTTAAGCCAAATGAGTACCCCCTGGGGAGTGGTGGGCTTTAATGTTTCATGAGCTAATCTTATGTGATGCAAAGTTAATTCGCTAAGATTTTACCGAGCGGGAATTGCGATACTAGTTGATTCTCACAAGAGTGTTTAGCAGAACAACTGTTTCACTTTTTTGCAGATCAGCACCACATCAGAGGGAAAGGCGTGATGGGTCGCTACTTGAGTGGCAGAGGCAGGTGGCACCGTGTCTGTCTGACTTTAAGGGCAACTGCTTGGTCAAAGAGACATCCATCAAATGGTATCTCGTTACACACTGCGACACGTGCAACTGGTGATTCTCTTCGGTGTCCCTGCTGTAACAAGGCTGAGACAGGATCCTCAGAGGGATCCCTTGACTCACCAAGGTACGTGCAGGAAGGTGGGGGGGGGGGGGGGGGGGGGGAAAAAAAAGGCCAGGACTTTTTTTTTTTTAAAAGCACTCCCCCCCGGTGTGTGTCTGTACAGCAGCGACAGCTGTGCCAGACACACACCAGCATATTAAACCCCAGACTCATTATTCATGACACACCGGTGAGGCATTATCTGTGATTGGGACCTTTGCCCTCCTGTGAAGGACAGCTACAGACTGGATATTGCCATTTAGTGCCCCACCATCCCCTATGCTTCCCCTATTGTCCACACACACACATACATAAACCCAAAGAAATACACACAGCACTTTTCTAGCGGGGGGGAGAGGACTGTGGCCTTCACAGTCCAATGACCAAAACCTCAGCCCTGCCAGGAATTTCACTCAAGTGTGTGGCAGGATCATTAGACACTAAAACAGAGGTACTCCGTCAAAGTTTAATAACTATTTCCTGCATGAACTGCAGTTTGTAATAATGCTGCAGTTCATCACAGAATGCCAATGCTTTTTCATGTGAGGCTGCCAGCCTCTCTGGATCTCTAAAAAATGTCTACTGCTTACTATCCTGCTCGAATTTAGAGTTAGCCATTTGTGATTCTGTGGATGTGGCAAAATCTACAAATCTCCATCCAACTAATGTCATCTTTAGCTATCTGTCCCATCGCCTGATCCCCAAATCCCACTGAGGGAGCAGCTGATGAATGTGAAATGAAAAAGAGCCCCACTGACTTGTTCTGTTTCTTCACCTGACAGGAACAAATGTGTTCATGACTGCTGCCCACATGTATAAATTGTTTGGTTTTCATTAGCACAGACTTATTGAATTTCCGGCCCATAGTTGACCACTCTGCAGCAGAGGGAGTTTGCTAAAGAAATATTGCTCAGCCTAGCGGCTCTTGGACCTGATCTAACTTAATGACCTCGGCGACACCTCTGCACTAAGTTTCCAATGAGCTGTTGACCCCCACTCAACACAACTTTCCAGAAACCTCTGGAAGCAATGTCGGCCTGCCGACTGACACCTGGCCAGATAATGTCAGATCCAGTTTGTGAGGGCATGCTGTTCAACATATGACAGTTGAACCGTTATCAAAGTGTTGGTTTTTTCAAAGACATATTGGGTCTATTCAGACATTTCAAGTATAGTTTCCTAGAAAATAACTCCTTCTTTTTTAAAGTGTAATTTAAACTGAAAACCAGGACTAACTTACCTATGGAGACCAGTTTGATATGCTCTCTGTCCAAGAACTCCAGCGCCACGGAGACGTTCTCCAGTTTCATCTGTCGGAAGTTAGGCCTGGTGTGATGTTTTCTGTACATTTTCTTCTGGCTCAGTACTTCCAACAGTGAAATGAGCTTCAGCCCATCACTAAAGTCCTTCTGCAGGTCCGTGACCGTCTTGTTGACGCACTTGAGGTGCTCGTTGCACCACCTGGTGAAGGTGTTCTGCTGGATCTTCTTCCAGGGCGCATCCTCGGCCAGGTCCTTCTCCGTGGCGGGCATCTCGTCGTCCTCCTCTTCCCCGAAATCTGTGGCCTGGTAGTACTGCGGAGGCAGCTGGTCCTCGCCGTAGTTATTGCTCATCATGGTGGCTTTTTCCGTGTCCGCTTTTATACCTCGGTGACACTTGCGTGTTGGACCGTGTGCGCTGCGGCGCAGAAAAACTTTAGCGGGTCGATGGGAAGCGCACACACTCTCGCAGGAAAGTTTGGATGAGTTTAAAAAGCACCCCGGAGATTCTTTGCACGCACTCGCGAAGAGACCGCCGGAGTCAGGGCAATGATTGATGAAATTATCCGATTTACAAGGCAGCTGGGCGTCCTTTTTTTTTTAATTGGCACCTTCCCGATAAGTCGCTCCTCTCTACTTTGGCCCCGAGAAGGTTTCTGAGATGCGGAGTTCCGCGGCAGGTGGTTTTTTGAAGCACTGCTGAAACTGACAGAGCGCGTTTAGTTTGAATGTTGAGAGGGGAAAGAGATGGGTTTATAAAGGGACCCTCGGCCACGTCACGCAGCGTCTGTGATCATAGTCTATTTGCTAATCCATTAGGATAACGGGGGTCAGTTTACGGGGAGGATGGCGCAGGGATTGGTCAGCCCCAGAACAGCGCAACAGTTGTGGCATGCACCTTATTTTTAGGCACTCCTATTTGAGGCACTTGGGGGGCTGGGACTAACTGATTGTTGTGAATGTGTGTCATGCTGCAGGGTCCAAGTGGCTGAGCCTCTGAGCTAAGAAAAGTAAATGAAACGTTTATGGAGTCCCTCAGGCCTCCAGATTTATCGTTTTACGAACAAAGCGGACTAAAAGCGGGATTCTGCCCTTTTAAAAATCCATCAGTTACATCGTGGGGGGAAACTTTTTAAAGGATTAGGTCACCCTATGAGGCTGCTGCATTACGTGTGTTTGACAGTAATCTGCCACCACCGAGTGAAATGCATCTCTGTGTAGATAATCAAAGCTCACTGTGCCCCAAGGTTATGAGATTATGCTTTAGCCATTTATTTCTGTCCAGATATAGATTAAGTCATGTTTCAAGCAACTTTGTTCATTCTATTATCTTCCAGAACAGTTTTTCTATTCTATTCCAAATAATCTAATGCTCATTTGGCATTCTATTATCCTATAGAACGGTTTTTCTATTCCAAATAATCTAATGTTCATTTAGCTCTGTTTAAAATTAATCCCTCCAATTTAGATTAAAGAAGTTAAACATGCCAGCCCCATCCAGCAATGCTGCCCCCTGTACTCATGTTTTATACAGGCCTTTTGTGTGGTTGTAAGCGTGCATGTGTGTATCAAGAATTAGTTTGACTTAACTGGATTATAAAAGAATTGGACTGTGTCTAATTGGACTTGTTTTGAATTAGCTTACATTCTCTTAAAAGTGCCTTGTAGTGGCTTTTTTTGCTGGGAAACCGAGCTATACGAACAAACAGAAGTGAGCTGGTGGGGCTACTATTGTAATGCAGCAGAACAACATATTAGCTCATGGAAGGAAAAATAGCCTTAAGGAGTCAGTTAACATTATTGTGCAGGTTCAGGGACTGCCATGGTGTTGTGACTCAGCAATTCATTGACACCAGCTGCCAGCAGCAGACTTGATGAAGTGGTGGGAGGTAAGAATAACTGTGACAAATGCAGAAGGCATTCTCAGGATACCCAGTGAGGTCACAGTGGGGGTCCACAGGTTTATCCCCCAGCATGTCAGAAGGTACTGGTAAGATTTGTTTTTTTAAATCCTATTTTTAACATCTAGATCATTAGCTGTATACGTTACATGCACTGCGATTCTCCTGGTGTAACGATAATAGCATCACTTTAAGTGAGTCAGAGCCTTTCGGAAAGTTTAGTTTATGTTCTTGTCAACCTTTTAAGCACATAGTATTCACATCCTCCCTCTTTCTATTAAAGATCCTGTCTGGACAGTTAGAGGAAAACCTTCAGCATAGTTTTTTTATATTCATCAGTGAAAAACTAAAATGTGTTATTCTAAGATACAAGATAGGAGAATCAATGGTAGGATCCAACAAAAATAGAGCCGATTTTGTGAAAACAGAACTGAAGCCTTCATGGACCTTCATGGTCATCTCCTGCTTCTGTGAATAGTTGACAGCTGTCAAATATTCTCTATTTATCTTTTTTTTAGGGCACTAAAACTGCACCTTAGTCCAGTTTTGAAATTCGATAGAAGCTGACTTGAATCCACAAATCTAGTAAAATAAGTGATACATTTTTAGAAAAAACTAAGCCATGTACAAAGCTGTACATGTTACACAAACTGTGGGATTTTCAAAGTCAAGAAAACTTTCAAATTTGAAAAGAAAATTTGTTTTTTGGGGCGAGAATTGGCTAAAGCTGGAATCCGGTTAGTTGGCACATCTCTGGAGACTGCCCATGGCTGCTTTGTAAATCAGTTTTCTCCCTTTTTAATGAGCTTTTGGCTCATTTGGCAGTCAGTTTCATACATGAAATATTCTAGCAAGGATTTGGAGGATATCAGACAGGCCTGAGGCTGCGGGTTATTTCATTAGATTTTGCTGGTGATCTGAGGCTGAGATTAATTAAGCCCATTTTACTTATTTAGCCATAACCTACGCAAGCTGAAACAGGGACCTATAGTTGACGACCACTGGGAATATTTTCCAATTAAACTAATTTACTTTAAACTTAAAGCAGCAGACGTCTGCCCAGCAAAGGTTTTTACATTAAGCATCACACATGGGTTACTTAAAGCTTTACTTAAACTTATAAGCTGTACTTCAACTTAGTACACCACAATATTCTAAGTGTCAGAGGTCTGATCAGCAGTGTTGACACACCAGTTCCTGTCATCTGTAAAGACGGCATGTCAGTGAGATTACGTCACGTCTCTAGCCCAAAGGTTATTAATATCCATACAACTAGAGTAACGTGATGCCAGGAAAAGGACTCAGGTTGAATGTTTTCATGAATGGAGCTCCCAGAGACCTGAAACCTTGTGACTGTGATTGCCGATGAGGCCAGCATCCAAGAAAAGCTCTTCGACATCAGGTGGGTTGGATGTATATTTATTTTTCTCAAGTCATTTCCAGTGCAAAATAGACCTCCAGATTACAAAATAGCCACAACTATATTTAAAACAACAAGGCTATCCATAAGTAAAGCAGCAAGATTACAGAAAAAAAAAGACTTTGCAAAGTAGCTTCTGAAACTATGATGTTAATATTCATGAAATAAGCTTGACACATTGATAAAAATAAAAAAAATCTGTCCTTAATCAGTTGTATTGCAGTTAATAGGATTATAGCTTCTATTGCAGGTTGATCAAGTTGTGGCATTTGCAGTCATGTGGTACATGATGTCCTTTGTGTTTATAGATGACATTGGTCAGGCTGTGCTTATTACAGTTCTGCTTAATGACAATGTTTTTTATACAGTTCCAAGACTGGAAAAACCATGAGTTACACTGTGCTTTCTGATAAATAGGGCTGTGAGTAGTCTAAATGCATGCAATGACTACACCATCTTTGAACACAGGGGTACTGAAATGGTTTGAAATGCCAGTAACATTTCTGAGGAACCTCACCATAAATAAACATTTACATAGCATAGGGTATGGCTATCAAATATATGATGCTCTTTCAAAATAGAATAAACTTTCTACAAAGCTAGTACAAATGGATTTCAGAAATATCTTTCCAATAGTACTATATGTCACATCTATTTACATGAAATACAAAGTAACAGAACCAACACAACCAACATAAATTATATATTGTGCTTCTATATGTTTCCTGGCATGCTTCTTCAGTTTTAAAAGATTGTCACAAAATAACATTTCACAAATGTAAACAAATAATTTCAATTTCTACATGTTTTAAGTGGTGCTAAGTCTAAACCTTTCATGCACCTTCCTGTTTACATGATTTGGACCCTCACAAACAACTAACCATGTTCATACTTTACTGCATGTATGGTGTAACTGATCATTACCAAACACACTGGGGATTTCCGAGCGCTGCAGTTTTGTTCCTTCCCTCTCCACACATAAAAATGACAGTCAGCATTTTCAAACTGTGCACCTCCAACAATTTACGGTAACACTTCTAAAAACTCCCTTCGGAAAACCAAGCCAATACGATGCTGATGGAAAAAGAAGAAAAGTTTAATTGACGCTGAGCTAAAATGTTAGAAACTGTGACAACAAGGCTCAATCCAACCATTATTTTTCTCCCAAAGGTCCTGAAAAAGCTCCTGGAACATAACAAGACTACAGCAAATCATCCTGTGATGGGTGTAGTAGTGCAGCTCTGTGAGGCTGTAAGATCCCAGGGTGAATTTCAAGCGGGCAAGTCAGACTGCAGTGACTTTGTGGCGGTTAATTAAAGGTGAAGAGGAGACGACTCCACCCAGTCGAGGTTACATGCCATACTTAAATATTACGCTCTAAGAATACATTGGCAGGTACTTAGTAAGCAATACCCGTGTGTCTCGTACTGTCACATCATTGGTATTTACAAAGAAAAAAGAACTGACCCCTGAAAGGTGCAGAACAAGACTGGCAGGCTTACATTTGTAGGTGGCTAGTCATTTAGCTTTATTTGTACATGTACATTTTTAGTAAACTACCTCAATGTTTGTCGTTGTTATCAGAGACACAAGCAATAGCTGAACAAACATGAATAAATAAAGGTTCAATAAAATGACACTGATTATAGTGTGCTTTAATAAACAAGAACTTCAATCTGTCACGTTTTAAAAGAGAAAAAACATCATATTCACAGACACAGAGAGGGAGGGACACAGTACTAGGAGACATTTATTGGACAGATCGGTCCTCCTGTGGGCTCCCTGCAGGACAGCTCAATGTCACCCGTTCTTTTCTATCTCAAGCAAGACTGAGGGCATCATTCTCAGTCCCTCCGTGCACCTAGTACCGTCTAATAAACACTTCCCATTTATTTTCTACTAAACTGCTGTCAGCTGTAAAACATTTACAAGTTATTCCAGTTTAGCCTACGGATGTGGCAGGAAAGAAGCAAGGCTGGTCTGAAGCAGACGTCCATCCTTGAGCAGATGTTACCCATCCCGTCAACACCGGACAAGAGCCCTCAATAAGCTAGCCATGGCCAGCATCACTGCTGTGGCCGCGGTCAGAGTCACAACGGAGCTCCAACCTACCTCAATCCCCTGAGAGAAGACAAGAGCGGTGTTAAGGGTCTGTAGAGGCTTTTTTTTTTTAACCCCTTCTAGATGAACATCCCTTTTTTCTCATATTTGAAGAAATACGCATTGTTACTTTCCCACTGGCATTTACTCTAATAATACATAGAATATTGTTTGTTTAACGTAAAACCGGATTATACACAGCAGTTACATGCTTTCACTATTATCTGAAGTTAAGGCAAGAACTTAAATACCACGTCTGTCCTCACTGGTTGCAGTGAGGACCCTCATACTGCAAATTATTGTTTAGATATTTTTTGTTTATGGTTAAACTGAACAAATAAGATGAAGTGCTTTAGTGAACTTCAGAAGCCCTCGTGATCACATGCCAAACATAATTTAACTCTTTAGGTTTAGGCTTCATATCAAAAGAGGACACACGTGCTTTTTGTGGTGCCCTCTTTATCAGTGTCTAATAGACTTTTTCTGTGTGTGCAACATCTTCAGTGTTTCTCAATGTTCCACACCAGAAGAAGTTTGTAACACAACAGACAAATATAATTTGTGATTCTAGCTTTTGTTTCACTGCATAGCTACATGGGTTTGTACAACATCAACATGATATTTACATGCTTTGCTGTACAAATCAAAGTAGATTTCAGATTCTATAATGTGCACCTGAACTGTACCATAAAGTTCTTCGTTCAAACATTTGTGGTCAGCATTTTTCAATATGAGGTAGACGCGCAATCGATGCTTTGGTGTTGATGCATTTAAACGGAAATGGTGCAGATAAGAGTTAAAAACTACGAGCACCTACATTGACCCAAGGGGCCTTGTATTAATGTGCAGAATAAGAAAAATCATAATTTTTCATATTAAAGGATTCAGTAAAGGATATTTGTTAAAACTGTCTAACGTTGTTATTGGCATATTTGCTGCATCCAAGGGAATATGTCATGTTTATTTGCCAAACTGCCTACCCGTCCAATCGTGGTGACCTTTCGGAAGTAGTTTCACATTCATTGTAAAATGTTATTTTCACGTTGTCTTCAGTCACTCTTAATTTATAAGCCGTGTTTGGAATTATTTCAATTTAAATGCTCCCATGCCAAGGAAATGACTCCTGACCACAAAGACTCCCAATAAATAATAGCAAATGATTAGTTCACCAAAATAACAAAGGAATTTATTTGTTTCTGATATCATTCACTTGCAGATGCCTTGATGTCATCATACATTAAATCTTCATGGCAGATGTGGATAACTGATTTTTGTTTTTTCAACAGCAGTATTGCTTTCCAAAAAAAAGTACCACATTCATTCCTTCTAGAAAAGAATCCTCTGCTGAAAATTAGGTATAATGTATTCATAATGCATACATTGAGACAGTACACTTTGTGAATAAAATTCTTAATTGAAATCATTATCAAAGGCCTTTTTTTCCCCTCATACTGACTTCATTCATCTGAAAAGCTGACAAGAAACAAAACGAATACTGCAGCTCTGCAGGATTCCTCAGATGCAAAAAAAGGCAATTGACATTTTGTTTTCTTTGTGATTTGGGTGAACTAATCCATTTTGACTAAGAACCACTGTGCTTCAGACAGAGATAAACTCCTCCCATACCTTGCTCTCTGGGACGCCAGCTCCGACAACCAGCACCAGACCACAGCCACAATTACAATCATTCCTATGAAGGGGATGGAGAGAACAGGGTGCTCAGACGGATGGATGAAATTCTGAGGAGGGAACAAAAACAAACACAAGGACCATGGGGATGAGGGGACGAATGGATGGATGGACTGAAGAGGCCAAATAATAAACACACATAAGGACAAACCACAAAAATCAATCAACTGAAAGTGCTGCGTGGTCAATGGCTGAGATTTACAGTGAAAGGGTGGTGATGGAGCGATTTATTTTTCCTATTAGGCAAACAATGCATAACTTTACGATGACATTCACATCAACTCAACGAAAGAATGTGTGCACAGGATCGTGTGGCATTTACTGTCAGCGTGCGATTTGGTGGTGCCAGAAAAGAAGAAGAAAGACACACGACGTGAATGGCACAAAGAGCAAATGGAGGTGTTTAAGTTTATCTATCCTCGTTCCATTATCAATTCGTTTTAAAGCCAAAACCTTGTTATCTAAAAGGCTGAGAGGTCATGGACATTCAGATAACAAGGACAGTGTCAGAAACAGGTACGGGCAGACAGTTTGACACAACGCAGACACAATTCACCACTTTTGTGATAGACAAAACACAGAGTTTCTTTTCGTGTTTGAGCATGTACGGCTTCGTTTTAACACCAACCTTTTCTGGAAATAGATACCATGATTTAAGGGTTTTTCTTGATTTGTGAATGGGCAAATGTCCCTCTCTTACACATTGAGTGCTTTCACCTTGGTATTAAAGTCAACTTTCAGTGTATTTTGTCTTTCTTTACATGATAATGAACCAATCATTTTTGGCCTGAGTGTATTTCAAATGATGTTTTTAGAAAGCCAACCTAGAGAAATCATTTTGTCATGACAATTAATCAAAAAATGCTGCTAATTGTGGAGTTTAAGACATTTACTCTTATTTGATGCACACGTGATAAGTGCTTCGGCTTTTAGCGGCCCAGTATCTTATTTCCCCAGGACCGTAATGCTGTTGTGAAGTGTGTTTTTGTCCATCAACAGTATTTAAGCATTGTTGAGAGACAGAGAGATCAGGACACAGACACAGTTAGGGGGAATGTTCCCAAGCCCAGAGCACATAAAAATACTGATATGGGCTGACAGGCCGAGTCAGTTCACATCAAAACATGTTCGACCACAGTATGGGACACATGTAAGTGGGCTCAACATACAGCGAACATAACAATTTAATCACGTGTTAGTTTATATGAAGCAAGCTGCGAAGAAAGATTGTTTCTTTAACATTCTAAAAATGACAGCAAGGACATTGTTTACGAATGAATATATCTAAGATAAAAAAAAGAGAACCATTAACCTCATTTTAAAAGCAGTAATCATAAATACACAACAAATTTATGCTCCACCATCAATCATTAGGAATCGTCTAGCATTTTAAGGATAAACTCCACATCTTATAGGTTTGTCCCGTTTGGGCCGCGGGCCTGGGCCCCCTCACCTGAGAACCCCCTGACAGCTTCTCCAGCTCGGCCTTGCAGCGCTGCAGCTCCTCCTCCAGCTCTGCCCGCTCTCTCTGACTGCTGTCATACAGGACCTGCAGCTCCTGCAGCTCCATCTTCAGGCCATCACACTGTGGGGGGTGGGGGGGGGGGGCAAAGATCAAAGCCCTTTTTCATCAATCCTGGCAAACTACTTGGATCTTGTTGACACATTTTGCACCCCAAGCAAAAGCCCTTTCCCTACATTTTCTTGTCGCGTTATTGCTGTGCCACTGGGGCCTCCTACCTCTCTCTGAACCTGCGAGGCCTTCTCCTCGGCCTGCTTCAGCTGGTCTCTCAGAGAGAACACCTCCCCGGCGCCTCCGTTCCAGCCCGTGGGCGTCATCGGCTTCCCGTCGAAGGAGATATTCTTCTGGATGGAGGCGTCCACCAGGCGACAGTTGCCAGACTGGGCCATGGTCATGTAGCTCTCCGTCATGACCTCGTCCGAGCCCATCTCCATCACCTTCCCCTCGGGGCCCTCCACAGCGTCCTCCTCTTTCAGAGACAGGTATACACTCGAGCTGTGAGGTGGAAAGGAAGGCACAAAAAATGGATGCTTAATGCATCTTTGGTCAACTTCCTTGACCAAAGACCAGGGACCACTATTGTATTTGATAACCAATGAATTAATAAACATTTTTTAATTGTCACAGCATGCAGAATTCTCCTACAGAATTTTATTACTGAATGGAAGAATCTGGTTCTTCATTATTCATGTTTCTACATCAAGCCCTAGATCTTTAAAATATGTATTCCACATTAAAGTAGGATATAAAATCTTCTACAAGCTTTTTCAAGTTTACAAGTTTCAGTGTGAATAGATAACGTTTTTAGTCTAAAACCCATTACTAATTGCCGCTCTGCTCTTCGCCAGGCAGTTTCAGCCCTGCAACATAACCCCTCAGTGGGATATCTCAAACAGGTGGTCAGTGTTTTTGTGCGTGTTGCGTGGCTGCGGCGGGGGGGCACTATTCCAGAGGGGATCCCCTCCAGCGGATCCACAGAGTGAGTGAGCAGCCATGGACCTCTCACCATGTCCTCTGCCTCTGCAGCAGCTGCAGCCTCTCAGAGAGACGCCTGTTGTCCTCCTTCAGGGCCTGACACTCCTCCTTCAGCATACGGCACTCCTCCTTCAGCAGGTCCACGTCGCCTAACGGCAGAGAGAAAAGGTCAGAGAGCAGGATACTGGAGAGCCCGCATGCTGCTCTTTTACATCTCATTATCACATTGTTTAGGGAGTTGCCGCCATAGTTTCACACTCTACGCATTATTATTCTCAAACAGTACATTGCTTCAGGGTCCTCTGCCACCTTCCATCAGAAATGTTGTGTTTTTACGCCTGTCTCTGAAAAATTCATAACCACAGGGAGCAGAAATGCCCAGCTCAAAGGGAAATTGAATACTGTTGATCATTCGGTATTAAGGTGAATTGAAGGTTCATTCTTTGGTCACTGACTTGAAATCCTAAAATCCTAAACTTTAAAGTGATTACACATCTTGTGGTGGTGATTAATGTTATTATATTTTGTGATTTTAGAAAGTTAAATTACCTCAAAGAGACTATGTTTGAAAGTCTATAAAAAAATCTTCCCTTAAGGGTTATTGAGATTAGATTTCAGTGAGCCACGAACAGCTCAGCTGAGGAAATATGAAGTTTCAGAACTTTCAAGACTGAATATTAAAACAGCAACATAGCTCGAGTATTTGAGAGAAAAAAAACTGCACAGTGTGTAACATTGCTGGGTGTTTTGACAGGAGGATTTTTTTTTTAAAGCAAAGATTCCTTAGCTGTCATTTCCAGAGCAGGAAGCAGGTGATGTTAATGTAAAAAGTGGGTTGGAACACAACTCCAATCTGCTTGTTACTCTGCTAAGAGGCCACTTGGAAAACATTTAGCAAAGAAATGTTACATATAGATGCGTATGAATTACAGGTTTTAAAAAAACTGGATTGCCACTAGAGCAGGTGAGCTTTTAAACCTTTGTTTTATGGAGATAATATTATACCTGAGAGTGGCTTTTATCCTACATAACAACATATAATGCAGTACAGCAATACTATTATATTTGCTTGTCTTTTCTTGTTGACCGTCTATCATGAAAGCACATATAATGCAGAGTTTGTTCCCCATTTTTCAAAAACATGCTGTACAGAATATCTTTCTAGGGAACTGTTACATGAGACACCTGAACACAATTGTCTGTTAAATATTATGCTACAGAAAAAACCTGCCTGAAAGAAAAAAAACAAGAATGAACTGACAAAACAAACATTTTTCAACATAAAAACATTTCTTTTTGAGTCAGCGTTCAATTATCCTTGTGTATGAAATGGATGGCAAATAGTAATGTATATGAAATACATTTTTAAAAAGGAGTTTAAGAGCATGGATTTCCCGTCCGTCCCACCCGAGGCTCAGCTGCTGAACCCAGCAGTGATATCATGTGTTGGAAGTGTGTGTCCCTTCCTGTCATGACCTCATGTGACTGGTATCCTTAGGCACACACACCACTCCCTTTACAACATAAACCAATCCTAATTGTAATTTGTGTTATTGAAAGCAACAACTGACTCATGTTCCCTCCTGTAGGATGCCAGCATGTGAGAATAGGACAATCCCAAACCTTATGAGTGAGTCTTTGAATTGAGAATGTGTTTTGGTGACAGTGTGCAGATGCAGTTTTTGATGATGGTCCCCTCTTTTTCTCTGTCTGTACCACAGATCTCTACCCTCCGTCCTCATGCCTCACCCTCTCTCCTCTCGGCCTCCCTGCGCTGGCTCTTCATGCTGATCTCGGCCCTCAGCGTGGTGATCTCCAGCTCGTACTCCTGGGTCTCCTCGCTGAGGCGCTGCAGCTCGGCCCGCCGGCGGCACAGCTCCTCCTGCAGGGAGGCGATGTCGTTCTCCCGCTCCGCCGCCGCCTCCTCCGCCGCCTGCTGCAGCAGCAGCACCTCCTCCTGGGCCGCGCGCAGCTCCTCCTGCGCCTCGGCCAGCTCGCTCTCCTTCTCCTCCTCCAGGCTGTCCATCTCCTCCTGCACGGAGCGCAGCTGGGCTGTGGGTGGAGAAAGGGGGGGAACGTTAGCTTTTCCATCATGTGCGATGTGTGGGTGAGGCTGCAGTGTTTCAGCTTGGGTGTGCACGGTGTTTGTATGCGTGCGTGTGTGTGTGTGTGTGTGTGTGTGTGTGTCTGAGTGTGTGTGTCTATGTGTGTGTGATCACACCTGAAGTGTGCAATAGTGAGCCTGCTTGCGTGTGTGTGTAGGTGGTGTGCACCGTTCGAAAGAGGGGCTGATGTAACTGAAGGTAAGCTTTTTTTTTTTTTTTTTTATTTCAGGACAAGAATTAAATCATTAGTTTAAAACTCAGGAAGGAAAAACTTCTCTACACCTCTCAGCAACTTCAACAATGCTCAACTTCTGTTTTTAAGTTTTTTTTGTCCCCATTTTTTCCAACTCGATCAGAGAATACATCACTTCACACACTGGCTGCAAAATGTATCCATCATTTCTCTCTTTTCTTTTAAGATTTGGAGTAACTGTAAGTCTTGGTCAAATCCAAAAGTTATTTTTATCCCATTATCTTATTTTGATTTTCTTATTCAAATTTCATATTGATGACCAATTGTAAATATTACAGTTATGGGCGAACTTTTTTTAACCTTTTAGCAAGAACACATCATCAAATTTCCTTTCAGCTATCTGTTATCCATCTCAAACTGAGGTTACTGTCTGAGAAATTGAAAGAGCAATATTCAGAGGGAAATTCTAACAAATGTAAGGTTTGTGTATTGTGTTGATACCTTGTAGGTTCTGGATCTGTCGTGTGAAGGCCTCAGCCTGATGGGCACTAGCCAAACGCTCATCCTCCAACAAACCTGGACAAGTGTGAGGATGAAACAGCAGAGAGGAGAGGTAAGAGGAAAAAGGTCACATCAGCAGGATTACCGAATTTCCCTTCGGGGATGAATACAGTAATCTATCTATCTATCTATTATTGGAAGATAATTATACATCCAAACAGGAAGGCATGACTAAAGCAAAAAGATTGTTTTGTATGCATGTGCATCACATAGACTGGATCAGATGTGTACAAATTCATCAAATGTATTACATCCATGGTATTCAGATTCAAGCATCTTTTAAGTTCAACAGATAAAATATAGCTGAATATCCTATCCAGCTTTTTGTTTGCCGCTATTTTAGAGCTTTCAATATCGTTCCTGTCCCAGTAAGTGCAGTCTGTCATGCCAAATTATTTCTGTCACATGCTTCAGGCCAATTCACTGGAGGGATTTATGCAGCTATTTAATTGCAGAGAATGATTTGCTGAGTCTACATATACTTAAAAAATGAGCCAAACCAAATTTTAGAGACTCACAGTACTGTTCAAAACCTCTGGGCTGTAAATGCCGAGACATGGTGATTTTTATTGATTACTATTGATTTTTTTAAATTACCTTTGGTTTATTTTCAAATTGAAAAATACTTGATATTTTACTCTTGTCTTTGTGTTTATGTTTATGCATTTAGCAGACGCTTTTATCCAAAGCCACTTACAAAGTAGACACACTTTTACAGATAAATATGAAAATTAGCTTTTTACACACTGTGGGTAGATCTCCAGAGTTAGGATTGTTTTTTGGTGGAAGTCACCAAAATACCGTCCAGATTCAGGAGTTTGACTCTGTGTCAGCTTTTCAAATACGCTTGTAAACAGATTTCTACTGCTTTCATGGAACAATTGCTCCACTTATCTTTGAGGAACTTGCCAAAGTTCCTGATTGCTTCTGTGCATTTGTTATCATCAGTCACAGACTGACTCGGTGATGTTGAGATCGGGGTTTTGCGGGGCTCACACCAGCTGTTGCAGGGACTCCTCGTGCTTATTGTAGCTGAAGATAGATCTCTATGGCAGCAGAATTATTTTGGGATGGATCATGTGCCTTTTTAATGGGTGCATGATGGAAGAATCGGTGGCCAAAGTTTTAACACAAGTCTTTATATTGATTTAAGCATCTATAATTTAGATAAATTTAAATGAATGCACCACTTTATTCTGTGGACAAAAAAATATATATCTAATGGTTATGAACATATTGAGTTCATATTTTAGTTGATGTTTTTAAGAATTACATATTTTCAAATAACTTAGCAGTTTTTGTAGCGCACAAAATAAGTTACACGTTTTCAGCATTTCAAATGTGACAATTTTACCCTGGAGTAGCCAAAACTAGAGTCCATTCATCCAGAACTGAAACTCTCACAGACAAACTCAAGTCCCCTTAATATTTCAGCAGGCCATAAATCCGTTCAGCTCACACAGTGAATTGACCAACAGTCCTTTCTCATTGTGGTCTGGGTGTAGGACGTTCAGTCTAGAAGTTTCCTCCAGCTGGCATGCAGTTGACGGAAGCATGCCCCCACCACCGCCAGACAAGGCCCTGAGCTCATCACGCAGTCAAACGCACGCAGTCATAAACACTTGCGGGGTTCTATGTGGCCTCATACCAATGGCCTTACTCACTGCTCGTGTCTCTGAGCATTAGTACTATCATTTCCAAAGTGTGATGCAACTCTCTTTTCAGTAACTGTGAACAGTGATCCGATGAACAATTGCACTTTTAAATGTCCGACTAAGCAGTCAGGATCAGAGATGTTTCAGGTGGAAAATGATGAGGAACATGAATGAAAAGGTCCTATTGTTCTCTATGTTTTGTTCCTTCTATGTCAGTCTAACCTGCTTATGGATCTAGATAATGTTTTTACCCATAGCTTACAGTGCAGATATGGAGGACACAAACTTGAGAAATGTACCGAAAGCAATCTGCAGGCTGTAGCAACACGACAAATGAGTTCAAACTGCAGGTGCATGCATGAGGCCAGTACGGATGTCACTTTGAAATGGTAAATCTCACAGAAAATTAAGCTGAGAAAAATGATCTCGGCACAAAATCGATACAACTTGTCAACCCTTCGCACGGCATTCCGGTTTAGGGTAAAGTGTGGGAGGCCTTCCTTTCATTTATTTCTCGTTCTAGCAAAGTGAAACCACAGACTGCAGTTGTTACTGACTCATCCTCGATCGCTTGATCCAGGAAAAAGATTGATACTTTTTTTATTTTGAATTTTCTTCTCCAATATATCAAAGACTGATCCGTCAGTGGCATTCCTGTTTTTCCATTCAGACAGGTTTATGTTCTATGGATAATTGACCAAAAATGCATTCATATTCACAGACACCGATTTAAGATCACAGCTTTTTTTGGGTTAGGACGAGAAAATGTTCAAGAATAAATTAAAGTCGCAGCACTGATGCTGGATTTCTCACCTTGCAACTCATGGAAGCTCTCCTGGTGTCTGTTAGAAGTATCTCGGGCTTCGTCCAGCTCCAGCAGAAGCTGCAGCACCTGGGCCCTCAGCTCCTCCAGCTCCTGCTCCTCCGTCAGAGGCTCCTGCTCCTTCTTCTGCTTCTCCTCTCCCTCGCCCTCCTCGTCCCTCAGTTTCTTTTCTTCCCCCTCATCCTCGGGACATCTTTCATGGTCCATCTCCTCCTTCTCGTTGTTCTCTTCCAGGACGCCTCGCTCTTTGTCTGTAATCTCGTTGTCCATGGTGGGGCTGCTCTCGGCTTTCAGATCAGAAGGGTCATCTGATGGAAAAAATGATTTAGGTGTTGAAGAAGGAATCAAACAAAGCTGTATGTCATTACCTAAACTCCGGCCAGTTTGCCCTGCCTTTGTGAACCAACAGCACCACCTTGTGAGTGCTATAAACACCAACTCTACTTCCCTCATATATTCCGATTTGAACACAACTAAGTCAAACGCACACTAAAACTGACAACCATAACATCTGATTAGAGCTGGAGTGATGATCTTCACGTAGTTGTAAATCTATCCATGAGAGGAAGGTCATATTCGGTTTGGTGCATCATATTTATAAGGATGCTATGCAGCATGTTTCATAGCCAAGTAAAGGTCTTTATTAACCACAAAATATCACATTACTTTCCATTCTGTGCTGTAATAATACGTATTTGACCAGTAGGTGGAGCAGGTTAGCTAACACAATGCGGCAACAGAAGGGAGGAGGGGAGGTGGCCCAGTATGCTGAAGCAATCACTATGACTCACCACTCAGCAATGCACCTCAAAGTCCATAATAACACAAGCGACCACTCATAGTAAGATGAGCATAGCACACATGTCTCTCATTTTACACTGTGTCGTATTACATGGTTGTCTGTGTTTTTTCGCTTCATTCCTGTGTTTATTTGAAGGTCTTCCTCATCCTCCTGCAGACCCAGATCAGGCAGGACGCCAATTGTTTATGTGTGCACGTAAATCCAAATGATATACTGGGTTTGAAATAGAGCAATGCAAAGAAATAGGATTTGATGTTAGAAGAGTGGTTGCTTGCTTGCTTACAATGTGCAGAGGGAAGCATAACATGTCAGAGATCTAGAAGGGAAAAATTCGCATTTGAAATCCTTTCCCATTAGTCAGATGAGACACAGTGTGAGGCATGGAAGCATGAAGCTGAATGGAGTTTCCATGCAGAGATGTCTTGATCTCAGCAGCATTTTTTTAAAGGTAAAGCATCGCGCTCCAATTTCAGCCTCCTTTCTGGACATTCTGCAAGCCCTACACACACACACGTACACCAGCCAGCCATCATTTTACTCAGACTTCTCAATACCATGCCCTTCAGGGTCAAGTCCATCTCAGAAATAAATGAGTTTACAGCTTTACACATTTGTGACTGAGTGGTCTCCAAATGCCTCAAACCCTCCTGTTTGCACACAGAAAACAGCATGATGACAGAGGAGGGGACTAGAGACATGACACGAGGAAACATGGTGTGGCTGGGGACGGAGTAATGCTTTAACAAGAGATCTACCTAATTAGGAGAGATGCACACCGGTGTAATTGAGGCTCGAGGGATGCGTCCTCTTCTTTAGATAATTATTTCTCTGCTTTATTTACCGCTTTACTAGATGCAACTCTTTCCACGCACGTGACTTTTTTTTTTTCATCCTTTATCTATGAGAGCCTTAATACATCCTGTCTCATAATAATGTTAATTTAAGCTACGCAGCCCCTGAGAGGAACGGGAGAGGTTTCATGAGCGCTAGCCTATTTTGTCATTAAACTTTGATGCTGGTGTAATGAGTTAGTCATAAAGACGAGAGCTGGAACACTGTAGCAGGGAATGAGCCAGAGCCGCTTGTATAGCCAGCGGCAGCTAAAGGCCATCAAGAGACAAAAGACTTCCCACGGACCATCACTCTGATCAAAATCCTATAGGATGTCTCACTCAGGGTATAATTCTCTGATAGATTCAAGTTTCAAGTGGTTTCCGCTGTACATGAGCATCAAGATTTTAATAAAGCAGCATCAACATTTAAATCTGAGTTTTGTATACAGTCTTTGCTTAAACACTTCACCGCTATCAAGAATTCAATTAAAACAGTTCTTCATTCAGGAGGGATGTTCTAAACTCCTTTCAACAGCCTCTTATGGAAATATTTAGCCACCTCACACAATATCTCTGAACACATCAAATGCCAGAAGCCAAACCCTTTAGTTCTCTGTTTTGTGCTTTCTAGTATACTGTAAGAGGCTCTTTAAGGAAAGTTTGTAGCATTTGGGAGAGGATTTGCTGCACTTTACATGGGTGGCTTGGCTGTTCTCTCCAGGCTCGTTTCCACCATCATTAAAAACTGCAGCTGTCAAGTCCACTCCAAATGCTTCTTTTAAACTGCGATGATTCAATACCGAGTAACAACAGGATGATCTCAACGTTTGTAAAACAGAAGTAAGAATGCCGGGTGGTGTGGTGGTTAGCACCATCGCCTCACAGCACCTGGGTTTGAGTCCCCAGGGGAACCAGGACCTGTCTGTGTGGAGTCTGCATGTTCTCCCTGTGTCTGCGTGGGTTCTCCGGCTTCCTCCCACCGTCCAAAAACCTGCACGTTAGGTTGATTTGGACATTCCAAATTGCCCTTAGGAGTGAGTGTGAGTGTGCGTGGTTGTTCGTCCTTGTGAGTCTCTGTGTGGGCCTCCGATGGACAGGCAGATCATCGAGTGTGTACCCGCCTCTCACCCATTGACTACTGGGATAGTCACCCCATTTAGGAATAAGTAGTTCAGAAAATGGACGGATGGAAGTAATAACGTTTTATATATGATCGTCATCCTTGGGAGCTGCCACTCTGACCCATGCTCAGTCCACTGAAAGCACTACGATGAGGCTTTACACAACATTTGCTCTAATAGCATTTCTGGGAGTAAATCATACTTGGACACTTCAGAGGATCTACAGGTTTGTTAGCTGAAGCTCAATATATTAGATGCCCAGGAGAATAAATAATGAGCTTAATGTTACACTTTGGGCTTAAGCGTGGTGCTGAGCTATAACAGCTAAGTAAACTAATCAGATTATAACAAGCTCTATTTGTTTAATTTACCAAATTGCTATGATCATACAGCCCTTGTATGTCTGAGCTTTGGAAAGTAAACACTGATCAAGCTAAAAAAAGATTTAATTGCACAGATTTAGTTAGAACGCTGGTGCTCACTGACAGCAATAAAATCCATAACCCAAGAAAGGAATCTCAGCGCCCCATTAAGGCTATAATTAAATCATCAGTCAAGAACATGAAAAAGATAGTTACTATGAGAAGTATTATGTCAGCATAGGATTTATGAATGAGTTTTTGTTTAATGATTAGATTCTTTGTTGGGGGTTAAACTTTGCTAAGCCCCCCTCGTTGGCCAGTGAGACCGTCACATCTGTGCTGGTTGTGTAATCTTGGCGAAAGACCAGGGAAAGTTAACCCATTACTTCAACACTAACATTCTATTAAACTGAATTTCAGCCCCCAGTATGGGACTGGGGTTTATTGGATAGATGCTTAGTGAGAGCAAAGTGTGGAGTGTGTATCAGATCTGCAGAGACAGGTCAGCTGGTACTGCCCTGAGTTCAGATTACACAAGGTGAAGTGGCTTTAATTCATTATGCTGCTGTGTGCAGATTTTACAGTTTACTTCCTCCACTGCCTTTAATCAATATGCTATCTTCTCCCCTGGGCTTATTTATATTCTAGCAAAATATCTTAATTTTGCATTTTAGTAGTGCCTCATTAATAAATTGAAAGCACCATGTAGAATATCACAAAGTAGTCCTCTCTTTGCTTGCTATAAAGCCAATTAAACTGCTTTTGTGCCTGAAATGTATAATACCTATCCATATACGTACATATAAATACGTGTGTGTGTGTGTGTTTAAAAAGCCTGCCCTGACTATTGTTCCTCGTCTCAAGGAAGTAACGTCACCTGACCTTGTGAGTGAATGTCAAAAGCATCTCGCTGCAGAATCAACTGCAGTGACACCTGCCATCACTCCGCTGAACACTTGGCACGGCGCTGGTCCTCAGTCACACGCAGATTGTATTAGACATGGATGCCACATGCATACGAGAGCAGGCGCGGACAGCAGAGTCACCTCAGGAGCAGCCCAACGGCTCCGGGGAGAGGACAACTTTATCTGTGTGCAACACATTCCTCCCTAATCGTGTCGCAGCGAAACACAGTCGGTGAGTCGGTGCAAACAAGGGTGCCGCATCAGAAAACAGCCGACAAGCAGGTCAAGTATTCTCTGTCAACATCCCAGAATAACTGAGGCTGAATTTAAAACATTAATGGAGTGACATAAGCCCTTTGTTTTGCTTCTGATTGGGCACTGGGTGAGGAAGTTGTGCGCGTAATGAAATTAGCTCTCTGCAGAATTAAAGAGCACAGCGAGGATCTTTTTTCCACGGATCCTGCAGCAGGTTTGTCCTCAAAGCAAAGGCAGTCTTGCTGTTGTGTTATACAACCCTCGACTAATAATTAATAATGCTGTTTTCTATGAGGAAACATTAGATCCTGGCATTTATGTGGATGTTGTTTGACACGTAGCACACACCTGTACACTGTAGAAGACCCACATCCAGCCCCTTCAACCCCATAGCAACAGCACTCCCTGACAACAGCAACCTCTCTCAACAGGATAAGGACCTCGCCTAATCATAGCAGGGAAGAAGAAGGCACGTCTGGCTTTTGGAAAAACAACAGCGTCCAAAATGTTTACTCTAAACTTCTGATCAAGCATCTACAAGAAATCCCAAACCAAGCCGGATCTACAGAGTTTGGACCCCAAAAACCTACCAAACAGGAACACACACTTCCAGAATGCCAGCCACCGAGAGCTTTAGGAGCAATAGGAATAAGCAATTACTTATATTTGAGAAATATATTCAAAAGCCTCTCAAAACAGGTCTCAGGGGAAGCCTCCATAGGAAGTCAAGCAAACGCTATGCACCATCAATTTTGCACGACTTTCTACCAGAAATTTGTTTACTTGCTCAATTTTTCAAAACTAAAGAATATATCTACACCGAACTATATCCACAAAATCTGCTCATTAGTTGTATCAGACCTCTTGACTAGCTTACTGGTTTTACTTTTGAAATGACTAAAAAGGCTATGTTGTGATCTTTCAGGCTTTTCATTCATGTTTCTGTCTTGTAGATCTAAATCTGGTCAGTTTGGTATCACAGCTGATCAGCAGAAGGACACGTTGGGCAGTCACCCTGAGTTGAAGAGAAGCAGATCTTCTTTAGTTGTCAAAAAAGGAAGAAAGCAAACAACAGTTTGATCTAAATCTGGTTTGATGCTAATTTTAAAATGATGAGCACTGCCTGAATTTCTATATCTCACTTTGGTTCCATCTTTTTTTCTGTCTCCTGCAGAGGAGCTACAAGCTCAGCTCAGAATTCGTCACTAATTCTCAAAATTGAGATCAATATGACTGGTCAATGTGTAAATCGTGCAAGTAAACGTAATGATAAGAACAGACCGAAATTCAATGAAAATATGTCACCGTGCAGAGCTGTCATTTAACTTTTAACTCTTTCTAAGAGTCTTGTTCCTTATTGTTATTTCTGCTGTTTGAAGTCAGGTGTTCTGTTATATAAAAGAAAATTTAAGACAATTTCTCTGAGCAGGAAATAATGTAAGTCTTGCCAGGTCTATCTGTCAGATAGCTAGGTCTTGCACTCAGAAATAAAAATAAAAAAACAGTTAGGTGAGAGCTGGGGCCAGCATAAGTTATTTGTGCCCACTGCATGTGAGCACTCATTATGTATGACTGTAAGTAGTGATCTCTGAGTTCTACTTCCCCCAGAGCTTTTACACGCTTCATAGTTTATGTATGATCCCGAAGCCACGTTTTAGCAGCATATGTTCGGGATGTGTGCGCAAGACATGAATCTCTGTGTAGGAGGCCATGCATAATGCACGCCGCCCCCTCCTACCCAAGCTTTGAAAACCATCCCAGCTCTGACGTTTCCCCCTGCACTGTCACACCTCCTCAGCAACACATAATATGGAGGAGGGAGGGGGAGTTGAAAAAAAAAGGATAAATTGCCTGAGAAAAAAAAAACACAGAGGGGAACACAATGATGCAGATTTAAGGCCGGTGAGTTAGTCGTGAAACCTGTGAGCCTTACAGACTGATCCCATCCTCATGAAACTAACAAGAAGCAGGTGCAACTATACGCCCAGGTTCATCCCCATGGTGACCCCAGCACACCAACAACCAAAGCCTCCACATATGGAAAGTCTCCATGGTAATAAAGCTGTTTTTTCTACAAGGATTGGAGCTCTGTATGTCGCCTGCTTGTTCTTTTTTGAAGAAGAGCACTGATGTTTTCAGGTACACCTTTCATGTAGCCTGCTCATTTTGGGGCTCACTTGTTTGCGTGCAGCAAAAAAAACAGGAGTAGGCCTCCCGTGAGGTGAATGCCAGTTCATCTCTTTCTGTACAACAAGCCTGCAAACTTCAGGGAGCAGAAAGAACAACAGTAACAAGGGAAAAAAACAAGACGTGAAATGGCAAACACATACGCTGCAGAGCTGAACCGACTTAATCAGGCACTCTGTTGGTTAAATGGAAAATCTTTGTTTGCGTTCTCAGAAAGAAATATGGGAAAAGTGGGTCAACGGAACGGAGAGGCATTGCAGAATTTGGCCTCATTAATGGAGCATGCACAAAAACTGTGAGTCTGCGTGTGATTTACTCAGGGAATTTGTTTTCATACGGATGTGTACTCCCATGCTGACACCACGTGTGTAGCTATTCCATTAGAAGATATCAGAAGCGACAGAGAACAAAGCATGAAAACAAGGGATGCGGTAATAATCCATTTAATCAAAAATCAACGGCTATGACCTGAAAGCACTCCCTCTGGAGGCTTTGACATCACTCGGATCACAGTGGAACGACGGAATACCACAGGTCACTGACAAATTACCGAACCCAAAAGGAATAAAGACCTAGAATGTGAGAGGAGGACCACTAATGATAGGCCGAGCATTTTTTTAGGGAAGAAAAAATAACTTAATGTTCATATGGGATTTCTCACATTTTTACCATTAAACAACTGAGGAGAAATAAAACTAAATAAGACAGGCTGAAATTAGTCAGACCTTTGCAGATCACTTTGAAAGCATTCATCTAGCACTTAAGACTGACAGGGGGAAGAAAAAAACCCACACAGCCCACAGCTCAGGCCTCAGATAGAAGGATTGGGAACCCCAAACTGAGGGGTTTTTCATTTGCTGCTTTGCTCAGAGGATTCTCACGATCTAAAGTTTGTCTAAGTCGTCAGAACCAGAGAGCAAAGATAAAAAAAAACCTGTTTGAGAAAACTTTGGGGAAGTATCAGCGCTTATGTGGATGTTGCAGCGTGAGTGAGACACAGGAGAGGGGCAGAGGGGAAGGGAGAGGACACCAGAGAAATCTGTGTGGGCTAATAGCACCGGCAGGTGGAAAGGTTTGTATTGTTCGTGCGTGTGTGTGTTTCTGTGTTTGTGTGTGTGTGCGTGTGTGTATGCTGGAAGGTGTGTGGGCGCTGGAGAGAGTATCGCAACTGTGAGAGGCACAAGAGTAACTGAGAGGGAACATGGAGAGAAAGATACAGAGAGAAATGTTTGACAGCTCAAGTGTGAGGACCAGTGTCTGTCGTGTTATAGAGACAGTTTGAACAAAGTCCTGTGGAGATTTATTGATTAGTAAGAATATGTGTTCATGTAATAGCATCTATATTTCCCTGCTGGTACAAGGAGCAAGTGATTTTAAGAAGCCTTCGTCCAGACTGATGTGGGATTTATTCACAACAGGATTTTGGAACTAGAATGAAGTAAATTCCTTCTGAAAACTCAGACAGGCCCATGACAGATGTCTAGTCAGAGCTGACCTCAGCCAGGGCAGAACGAACGCTCTCTAATCTATTTAGATTCCCAAGAGTATGTAATTCAGAATGGAGCAAGTATATAATAGCTGTTGCATGATCCGCTTTATGTTTGCTTTAGAATCAGGATCCACACCACTTAAAGCCATTCTCCTGCCATCAGCAGATGCTGGTTTCCAGCTTTGCCTCGGGCTGTGGTGAAAGGGAAGAGGTCCCTGGAGTTAAGATGACAGGAACAAGCTTGTTGTTGAGAAATCCTGTCTCCTGAGACCGAATCCATATTATGGCTGTCAATGGACAGACATCAGCAGTGTAAATACAGAACATTAGTCTTTTCCCTTTTAACAGAGGAAGTCAGGTTAATAGGTTATTCTCAGATCAGCAGATATACCCGGTTTAACATTTCCAATGCTTTCTACTTTCTTAATGGCTTTAAGTTAAGTGTTTTAAAATCTATTAATGAAAGATAACTTTGTCATTTGACATATGGAAGGGAAAATTGGTAAGTTATGTAAGATATGAGATACCTAAAGTCTCTTTTTCTTCCCACAAGAAGTCAAAGCAAACATTTCCAAGCATGCAACAAACGTTCCCCCTAAAAAAAACATTCCTGCAAATAGGATTTAGCTGAAGTTCAGCTACAGGGCATCCCCGGACAGGAATAGGAAGCCGACTCTGGGAGGCCAGCTGCAGCCCAAACTGCTGCTGACCTGTGGTTCTGACCGAGCCCCTCCACACCAATAAACATCCCCTGAGCAGTGTCCCTCACAGGGCAGCGCAGCCATTCAAAGCCCAGAAAACACACTTCTCTCCTCCTTGTTGGGACACACAGAGGGAGAAAAACATTCCACACATTCTTCCCTCAACACAGCTCTGATTCTGCATGAGGCAAAAACAAAGAGGTTTTGTGTTTAATGCAGAACTTAAGTTAAAAAAAGCAAGCTATAGGACAGCTCTTAGGCAAAACACCGGAAAAGGACTAAATCCATACCAAAGGCAGCGTGACACTGTGCATCATTTCTGAGTCAGCTTTAAAAAAAAAAGCATATGTCTCCCACTTTAACAGAGCCAAGACTCATGATTAGGCCGACATTATTTCCTGCCGTTGGCTGCCTGCCATTTAATACCTGGCAGTGCCTCCATCAAACGTCCACAGATGCCAGATCTGACCGTAATGCGCACCAGTCTATCGCTCTCTCAGAATAACAGCTCCCGCAATAACCTCCCCACCGCACCACTACACTTGTTGGACTAATCACTCCATCTTAACAGAGATACGCATCTTCTTTTCTTTACCTTCTCAGGTTGATCCGACGTGATAAGCCGTGCACCGCTGAGAAACGGTACCAAGTCACACTCACACACACTCACACACACGCAGAGACGCACAGTAGGAAAAGAGCTGCACAGACCTGTAGAGTCCAAAGCCTCCTCTATGAGTGGAGGTAAACGCAGTCCATCCATAGCCCCCCTCGAGCTGCGGAGAAGAGGGAGAGACGGGAAAAACGCGAGTGGGCGACGGAGGGGTCAGAGGCTCCGCACGCCCACCCCCGCTGCGGGGAGACAAACACAACACAAAGTACCGAGCGCGGTGTCAAGTGCGAGTGCGCACACACTCTCACACACACACACACACACACACACACAGAGAGAGAGACTGGCTCCGGCGCATATGTGCGCACGCAGAGGAAAAAAAATAAAAGCAAAAAAGCCGTACCTCGGGAGAATATAGGAGGGTCCGGGGCGCGGAAGCCTGAGCTCTGGAGCGTGGGAGAGATGCCGAGAGGGAAGAAGGGAGGAGCAGAGTGGAGGGAAGGATGCTGTTTTGCCAGACGGCGAGCTCCGTCTCCCTGCGCAGACCTCCCCCCCCACCCCACCCACCCCCGTCCCTCGCTCTCTATCTCTCTTCCTGCTCGTCTTACTCCGTTTACTATTTATGCACTTTTATTTAAACTTCCCCCCTTTCCCATGCCTCTTTCCTCCAGTCTTCCCCCCTCTCTTTTGGCTCTGGATGCACTCGACATACTTAGAACTGAACAGATACACACATTCGTCAGAAAGCTGTCAAATAAGGCCCCAAAATCAAGAAACGTGTTTAGTGTCTTCATAATTCATAATCCCAAGAGGAAATATTTGAAATACTTTATCTTAAATGAAATGTTGCCTCGTATGACATTTGTGAAATAATTCCTTTGTGAGAGGGGAAAAAATCCCACCCCTGAAATTCAGATTTTAGTAGTGACATCTGGAGTGTAGAGGAGAGGGATGAGTCCATCATGATGAGGGCAAATGAGGTTGTTCTCTGTCCTCAGGGCAGACTCCTATATCAACACCTTTTTTTCCATCTTTAGCCCATGCTTATCCGCTGTGGGTCAAAACGCATCAAATTATGCACCAGAGAAAAACATCCTGCCTGACCTGTTGGCTCACTAAAACTGATTTCCAGCTGGTAATGCACAGAGTGGGTGCTTCAGACTACAGATTATATAAGGAAGTGGCTTCAGACAACCAAAGGCAATTTGCATAGCCATGGAAAGCAGATTGCACCACAAAGATAATGATGTGCCAAACACAAGGATTTCATCCAACAAAGTCAAGCCTAAGTGCATAAAACAAAGAAGCTGTTCCTTTTTTTCCCCCCATGTTTCATTGAAGTTGCCAAAAACTGAAGAATAACATGCTGCTGGGTTATGAGTCCTCCCCAATTATTTCAGTCACAAGCTGCCCCTGATCAAATCGTACAGATTTTAGTGGTTCACTGCTCTCACTGAATGATTTACTGAAAATACTGAGTCAAATCAAAGGATTGAAAGAATTGACAAAAATCAGCAACGGCAATGCATTAATTTAAAAAAATGTGCCAAATGCATCAATATTTTATCAAGGGAATTCCAACTCGCAGCATGGAGGGTTTGAATATATCTCATGATTGAGTGAAGTATGGGAGCAAGATGAGAGATTTCTAAAAGAAGCCTAGAAAATGACCTGACCACATTTGCAAATGTCTTCCTCTCATCGTGTCTCATCACTTTTGTGAGCACACATATATGCTCGCACACTTCCTGGTTTGCCGGTGGGCCTCTGAGCCAACTGAATGCACCTATAATGAGATCCAGGCTGACTCTTGCAGTGGTGGCCGACGGCTCGCGTTGCAGATTACTGATCATTTCCCCTCCATTGTTCATTTCCTCCCCTCCTCTCGCCGAGTCTCGCTCACTCGGTTTACTGCCAGCGAACAGAGGCTCCTATGCTATAAACAGTGCTAACACGACCCCCTCCGTTTTCACCACACTCTTTCACATGCATACTCTTCACCCCCTTCTTCATCCACTTCTTTTTCTCGGCTGCTTTCAGATCTGCTAACTTCTGTTAAGCGCCCGGTAACGTGAGGTGAGCCGCAGTGGTCTGAAAGTATGCGGGCAGAGCAGGGGAGGCCCGGCCGGGCTGTTGACCGTCTCCGCGGGAGGATATTCATATCACTGCATTGTCAGAGGGCAGGAAGTGCTTTGCAGAACACAGAGACACAAGCTCGACATCAGGCCCTCGCACATTCTTGCGTGCAACCCCGGTGACATGTGAAAGAGGAAGCGTTTAAAAAGCAAAGCAGAAGTTTCAGTGGCGGAAATAGAAAAGAGGCTGAAAACCTGTGTCTGGCTATCGGCAAAAGATTGTTTACCTGTGACAACCAGCAAGTGATTTTTGCAGAAAGGGCCAAGAAGAAGGGAGGGATTAAAACTCACCGTGGAGAAGAGAGTGATATCTGCTTACAAGGGCTAGCTCCACTTCCGTGTGGCACTGTGCGGCTTTGTTCAGGCAGCAGTAATCCCCCAGACAAGAGGCCAATGCAGGGAGACATCTCTCAACTTGAAATCATCCCAAAGTCTTTATAATACACACAACAACACCCCCCCCCCCACACACACACACACAGGCAGACACAGACACTGGGGAAGGGAGGGCTGTGGAAAGGAACGGCTGACAAACACATGACAGGCTGTTGATAATGAGCCGACAATGTCTGGCTTCAATCCATAAGTGTCACTCTGAAGTGGCAAGCAGGCTGGTTGCACACCAGGATGGTCAAGAGTGAATGCAGATACAATTTAACTTTTGCCCCGTTTGTTAAAAAGAGCTGTCTGAGCTTATTCAGGGTAAGAAGATGTATGTCACACTGCACAGGCTGACCACAGTGACAAACAAGGACTTCTGCCTTTGTTAGAGACCGAACCCGTTTACCCATATAGTTAACACTTCAGTTCAGAAAATGGTGAGAACAAAATCTACTGAGCAGGGCCATAACAAAGATCTTTCTCAGAAAGAGAGGTCATTTGAGGGGAATCTCCATCGTCGGCTCATACTGGGGTCTTTGTCCAGTCCAGATTAGACAAGGCACAGACACAGCCCGTACAGCAACGCTAAACTTCTCAGGAATGTAAGCCTGAAAATGCAATGCAAATTGACACAAACATACAAAACACAGGAAAGGCTAAGAATTTCTTATATGCGTATTTCATGCTTGATTATGTGCATTTTTACAGACAATTAATTGACACAAAAGTGATTCATGAATGTGAGCTTTATTGCTGTACTGAACCTCTTATCAATTCAGCTAATATCCATAAAAATCACACAAGATGTTAGTGATCATTTCCAATGTTTCCAAGCGTGACGATGGTTTCAATTGATTTATTTTCTGAAATGTCTCTTAAAGGATCATATTTTAAGGGACATATACAGAAGGACAACAACCATAGCACACGTGTACAGCGCTAACTATTTCTTTCTTTAGTTACACCTTAGCTTCAGAACCACAGACACTCTCCAGTCTCAGCATGCCTACTTTGCATTTCACAACCTGGCTGCTCGGGTGCACAAAAAGGTTGTGAATGGAGAGACTGTGCTTGAAGAAAGAGGTGTTTTTTACAGATTTGACAGACAGTGTGAAGAGCCTGTTTGAAACATAACATTTCATGGCAGTGTTTTCCTTTCAAATGAAGTACAATATTTTCAAATAATGGAACACATGGAAATGTGGCAGCGCTCACGGGAATAATTGAAGCCAGGCAAAAAATCGCATAAAACAAAACTAAATACGGGACATTTTCACATGTCAGGCTTGCCAAAAATAATCCATCAATACTGTTTCAAGGTCTATCAATGCCATTGGTAAAATAGCACAAAGTTGCTATTCAGCTGACTCTATTTGCTTGTAAATGCAGAGTCATCAGGCGGTACAATTACTCTGCACTGACAGTGTATCATTGTTACTCTCAGCTTGCTATGTAATGGAACCTTAGAGCTATTAAGGACCATAATTCACCCGACAATCCACTTTTTCACTGCTGAGCTGACAGCCTCTAACTCCAAGCATCACTGTAGAACTCTCTGGTTGCCTAGCAACTAAAGAAAATTGGAGGTGCCTTTGAATTAGACGTTTTAAGAGCCCATTTATATGTGGATCCTGATGACAAATGTCTCCGTGAATCTGGTACACTAATTCCAAGTGTTCATTAAGGGAAGTTCTAAATCTGGTTACACATACTACAGCATTACTGAGCTGCACATCTTGTGCTTGTTTATTTTGGAAATGGAGGCTGATCGTTCGATGCAGGGCAAGTTTTCACGTTATAGTGCAAAAGTAGAAGAAAGGAACATAGGCTGTTTCCATGACACCATAAACAGGAAAGGGAGGGAATGGCCCAGCGCGACCAGAAGAGTCGACGTAATTCACTGCGAAAGTTGCCAAAGAGGTCAGAACTTTCCCATAATTTCAGCTCACGCTCGAGTGCCACAAAAACACATAGCTGACACACACGAAAGCTCAAACACTTACAACCCCACATTTAACTGAACGGTTTTTAAAACTTCTCCCCACAATCTCCACTGTCCTACTTAGAAAACAAAGCGTCCCTCTCCCCGCTGCGATATGGAGCAGGACTGCAGCTGCGGCAGGCTTTCTGGTGACCTCCTCCAGATCTTTTACTCTACAGTCACCATGCCAACCTGTCTGAGGAGGAGGCTTCGCTCTGGGCCCAAAAGAGCCTTGATGAGGTCCTGGGATAATTAGCCACTCATTATGGATCCCAGTGAATAGACCAGTGAGCTCCAGGAGCCACAAGGGGACCGCACAATGGAAAACATTCAGGATTGGAGCGCACATCAAAGACAGCCGTTCAACAGTATGATAAAGAGCAGCGAGAGATTGGGGAAGGAAAAAAAAATGCTCTCTGTTCACACCTACAAATATAGCTCATAATCCCTGTTTTTGAGCATATGTGTGTGCGTGCTGCTGGTGGTTGGAGTGTATTTTTTTCCCCTACAGGCCTTGGTTGCAGCACAAATACATAAAACACAGCTGGTCCTCCCACACACACACAGACACACACACACACACACAGAGGCAGACATATGTGCACACTCCTCACCATTCCGCTCTTAAAATTAAGCTCTCATACATTATGGAAACAGTGTGACTGTAAGAGAGTCCCGGTTAGGCTATGTGTCCATCATCTTCTCTCCTCTTCCCGCATCTCACCATGTGTCTTTACCTCTGCCTGAGATCCAGGAAAGCACTAATGACACAGGCTGAGTCATGCACACTATTGAGCCAGGACTGAATTTAATTGTGACATGCGCAAACACTGGAGCAGTAAGCCAGTTATTTCATCTGTACCCACAAAAGCGAATGAAAAACTTTCCAGGTGATTATTTCTTTGCAAGATAATGATAAGATAAGAGTCTTTCTGATTTATCAGTCTCCACCTCTTTGTCTTTGTAGTTACTTTCTCTACTGTGTGCCACTTTGATCTGTTCAATGTTTCCTGTCATTCTAGTTGGCCCACAGGCTCAGAGCAAAAAACATTTTCAGCTCATGATTAACATGAGGCAGGCACTTCTTTTCATCTAGGGCTGCTCTCTTTTATAAATCCGAAAATGCCTTCGTGAGTGAGGCAAAATGGCTTTGTACTTCCCAGTTCCCTCAGCCTGTTTTCAGAATGAACGCCCGTCCAGCTGTTGCTTTGCAGGCATCCAAAATTGAACTTTGAAACAAGACCTCAGGTACGATTTCCCTCTGATGACTCACCCATGTAGATCTTAGACATCCATCAGTGCTGCGTTGTGGAACTGTGTACTTGTTAAATCACCCAGGTATCCCGTTTGCAGGCATTTGGAGTTGTTTCATGTTTTGCGTGGATATTCTCTTTTATCTGATCTTGTTATATCCAAGTCTGAGTGATGGGTGAAACAGTGAAAATTGCATTTTTTTTTTTCACTTTGATGCTTTTATGTGCATATTTTTCTTAGGTTTTTTGCTTATTTGTTTGTTGTAGCTTCTTTCCAACAAAGAATCAGCTTAAATAATGTTTATACCCTCTGTCAGTTGCTCAGAAGAACTCATATTTCTTACTTTATAAAAAATGCTGTCAAGGCAGATATTTCACATAAAATGTAGGTAATTCGTGTGACATCATGCACTTCTTAGGCTGAGCAATATAGCTGGAGCTGTGCCCATTCGTTAAAGTGAATTTAAACAGAACTGAATGCCTCTCTGATCAACTGCTTGCTGGGTATCAAAATCCACACTGGTGGGAGTTGCATCACGCGTTTTTGAGTCTAGAGAAAGCATTCTTGATGACAGCATGTATCAGTGAATGACTTTCAGTGGTGAATTCGATATTAATTAAACATACAAAAATATGCTGCAGTAAAGACGAACAACATTGGATACATGTGGGAATGCTGCCATTTCCCACGCTCAGCCACACATAAGAGCTCTGCTCATCCACACCGGTGTGTAGGCCGCATTTCTGCTTGTTTGTAATATTTAGGTTGTGCTGACTCTCATTTTAACTAAAAACAAATCTCCTCAATGGATTAAAAAATGAAAATAAAGAACAAGCACAAACCTAGCTGACACCATTTGTCTTGAGCTGTCACATCAACAGTGTAGCAACCATGCCCCCTACTGGTGAGAAAGTAGTACTACCACGGTGAATATTTGTCAGTATTTCAGACGTAATTGACTAAGAAGCAGATATTTTAATCCTAATTGTATCCTATATCATGCACCATACATACTAAATGCTGGGCTACCTATGCTTCTATAGTTTTTTCAGTCGGTTAATCTATCAGCTTTTAATCTTTGTGCTGTATCCCATAAACTAGTAAATATGTGATTAGTTCATTCAGTGTACCATAACAAAAACCCTTATGCTTTGTTGTTTTTTGTAAAAAATCCTCAAAGTGTCCTGTTGCTTCTCTACAAGTTTAGCAAGAATAAATGAAGGAACCAATTCTTAAAAGCAGAAAATTTCCACTCAGGTGCTCACTATTAATATTATCATTCCTCATTAGAATATCTTTGTGTGTTGCTGTTGGTTTAAATTTGCTTACATTAACATGTCAATTATTGATTTACATTATGCAAGTTAATATGTGATATATAGCAATTAAGCATGACTTATTTAAATCATATGCATTCTTCCTCCTTTGCCTCTCCCCATTCTTACTTACCCAGAATTCATTGGGTTAATGCAAGCCTGCAAAGGAGCTGCGTCTGCTCTTTTTCTGCATTACAGCATCAGGGCCGGACTTAATGTCTGCAAAGATCTTGAGAAATGCTGTCAAGGTAACTGAAGAAAGACAAAAAAACTAAAATCAATAAATATATGTATACATAACAATATTGCTTCTCATAGGTACTCACATTCCACTGCCGATGCCATTTCCAAAGGTAAAGGAAGACAATAGTAAAAAAAAATATTTTAAAAAAAAGGACAACCATAAAAAAGGTTTTCTTCATAGAGAGGGAACTCTACACGTTAAATGTTTTCATTCCTATAGTTGAGTTACGACATTTTCATCCATTATCAAATTCCCTAGCATGCCAGTTGTAAGCCTGCCAAAAAACTTCTTAAGGAGGGAAGATTTATGGCAAAGCCCATCAGTTGCAAAGATCAGCCAAAAGATGATTAAAAAGGGTTGTTTAATTTAACAGAAATTAGAAGACAAAGGCACATGATGTATGAAAATACAACTTGTTGATCACATAGTGCACTAAAGATGAAAACAGAATGTAAACTAGACCACAACTCTGCATATAAAGCATGAGTTTTAAGAAAAAAATAGAGAAATGGACATATCCTCCCACTGTTCAGAGGACAAATATGAAATAAAACATTAGTGATTTAAAAAAGGCTCATAGTTTATCACAAGTCTGTAAAGTGATCCTCTCAGTGGAGCACACAAGGCTGTTTGTTGATAAAATGGAAAAAAAATGCTTTTTTCTTTAGGAAAAAGCCCAATATCACAGTATAACCCCTGACTCTGCATTACATTATTCTTAAAAGACTAAAAGACAACCATGGAAAAAACCATAAGACATTTCTACATAAAACTTAAGAAGACAAGTCTGTGCTTTGTGTTGTTTGCACTTGCATATGTACGCGCCTGCACTGGAGCGCCGTGCAGGGCGGCGGTTTCCTTGTTACCAGCGCCGTGATGCAGCTGGATTGATTTTTGGCCTTTGAGACAGGAGACAGCTGTTATTATTGGAGTCCAGCAGTGGCCTCAGTGGTTATGGTTCTCTCTTGCCCAGCATTAATGACACTTCCTTACACGTCCCTCCGGTGACAACACCTTGTCACTCCTCTATAAAACCATTGTAAAACTCTCACTCAGACAGGAATGCTTAAAAACAGTGCCCTTAAGAATCAACTATATTGCACTTCAAAACTTCAAAGTTGACAGAGCCCAACAGACAAGACAACGCAGATTCTCCTTAAAACAAAAATATTTAAAAGAATGGGGAAATGGGCTTATTTATCTTGATAAAGCAGAAGACAATTAAATCCACCTAAAAGCACTTAAACCTCTAAAACAGTTGCGAAAATAAGCATAACAGTTGTTGGCAAAATCTTAGTATGAACCACATCTATCTAGATCATCGATTAACAGTCAAAAGGAAATAACTGTATCTCCCCCAAGTGTTTAAACATTCCTTTAAGAAAAACATTTCCATATCCATAACCTTGACCAAGAGTAACATTTTGTTCCTGTGCATGAACTTCAGTTTGAGATTTCCTTTAAGTCTGACAGAAACAAAGCAACAAAAAAAACAAAAATAATTAAGATTTACAGAAGGGATGAGACTTGCGTCTGTCTGCATTTAAAAATGCACCATTCTTCACCCTTCTTCATCCTTGATTTTGAACTTTAAAGTACTCTGAACATTTCATAGTGATTACTGGAGTAGTCAAATCTGATGTTACATAAATACTGTTATTAAATTGATATGAAATTGTTAGTTACACACATTCAACGTCTAAAAAAACCTAAAGAAAAAAATAATCACAAGAATTAAGTTTCACTGTCTTTTTTTAAAAAACTTTGAATTTTACAAATACATCACGATCATGCTATCTGAAGATTGTACAACCAATCTCCATAGACTATGATTCTGACAGCACTCATGTTAATGTCATTTTAAGGGGGCCTTCGCTATTGGCCGGCACCAACAGCCCGTCCAGAGCGAACTGGAGACGGTCCCAGCTCTTCCAGAACACGGTCAGAAAGCACAGGCCCAGGAGGGTTAACACCACGTGATAGCGGCTCCTCATAAGCGGAGCGGCAAATTTGGCCGCGGTGGAGACGCACACCAGGATGACCGTGATGATGGCCAGCATGATGTTGATGCTCTTCCCCAGCAGGACGCGGGCGTCGGGGCTCTCCAGCTGGATGGTCTGCTGCTGGTGCTGCTGCTGGAGCTCCAGCTTGGACACGCGGGTCTGACACGACTCCAGAGCTTCCTGAGAGAGAAGACACAGATTTATAAGAAGAAATGATCCTGATATGGTTATGCTGAAGTAGCTGTGATATGTTTGCCCTGTAGCACTGTCTCAAAAACAGAAAACCATCATCCAGTGGAATCAACTTAACTGTCTCGGGGGGGAAAAAGAAAAACACAAATATAATCCAGAACTGCACTGGTAAATTCAAATATAGAATTAAGAAAACATTTAGACATGATCTAAACAATCAAAAACTGAAATATTTTTGACAATCAATGGCTATTGCCATCCTCGACACTCATCCAAGTTATTATCAGAACACAACAAAAAAGACAGTATGGGCTCATCACCATATCATAGCTATCTAAATGTAACTACACAAGTGATTTTTGGGGCAACATACAGGCTACTGCGGCTTTCTGTTTCATGGGAGACCCTGCTTATGTCAGCAATACTGTGGCAAGCCACAGCTTGTATATATTAATGCAGCTCGACTCTGCACTTAAAGACACCAGATGTTAAAACGAGTCAGCGCATAATCCAGACTGGGAAACATTTGCGGTATCACAGAACAACAAATATGCCGCAAAGAGGCCCAGAACAGACGACACCAACATCTCCCGCTTTCCCAAAAAACTAAACAGATTTGTTCAAGAGATCATCAAAAAGTCGGCCGACACACCCAGTCTCAAATGACGGCAATCTGTGTTCATACGCAGTTTGTTTTGGAAACACTGGAAAATGACAAACTGATATGCTAAATGTCAGAATGTAGTGTTTGCCTGTTACTGACCTGTAGGTCCCTGGCCCTTTCGTGGGCCTGGTAGGTCACCCTCTCCTCTATGCTGGCCAGTTCCTGCTTCAGATCTGCCATCTCATGTTGATGCAGTTCTGTCAGATCGTTGAGCTGGTCCTCCAAACGCTCGTACCTGAGAGTTTGGAAAACAGAAATCAGGGTTCAGTATCTATACATACCACAAAAACGTATACTCCATGGCTTGTTGGGTGCATGAAGTAAACATACCTGTATCTCTCCTCCTGTAGTGTTTGACTGACGATGCCGTACTCTCTCTTATACTGCGCCTTTATCTCTTCAATGTCCTCCTCCAGCTGGCTTTGGACGTCTTTGATCTCCCTTACCTCCTCCGAGCACAGGTCCAGTTTGTTCTGGACGTCGCCCCCTGGCTGGAGCTCCTGGCCGTGGGCCTGGCCCTGCAGCTGCCCGGCAGACGCCCCCCCCGCCCCGGGGTTGCCGTTGCTGTCGGCCGAGATGGAGGCGCTGCCCGAGGAGCACTCGTCATCGCTGGGGTACTTCAGCTTGCCCACTAAGGAGGTGCTGCTGCTCATTCCTTTCCCCGCGCTGTCGGTGGGCATCTGCGGGGGGGAGTCCAGGGCGGTTTTGAGGTGGGCGATGTTGTCCGCGCTGCCGAACCTGTTCCGGATGGCGTTGGCCAGGTCTTTGGGCTTGCTGAAGAAGAACGGAGGGGAGAGGGAGACACCCGGCCCGATGGTTTTGATCTTGTCCATGGTGGGGTGTCGGCCGCTGCCCGTCATGTCCTTCAGCAGCTCTCGGGGCGACTCCCTGGGTAGGGTGCTGTGTTTGACGGATGGGTGGTAAGGGGGGCTGCTGTGAAGGACCTCGCGGTCCTTCATCTTTCGGTGGTACTGCTCCAGCTTCTTCTGCATCTGGGCGATGTTTTGAGCCGACTTCTGGTTCTTCTTCTCGAACACCTGCTTGATGCGGCCCACCTGCTGCTTGTCGGCGCTGTTCATCAGCTTCAGGTACTCCGCCACGTTCTCGTTCTTAGCCGTCTGCTCGATCTTCAGCTGCTCGGTGACTTTCAGGATTTTCTGCTGGAGACTGTCCAGGAAAGAACGACTTCGCTGGACCTCCGCGCCGAGAGACGGGCAGGGGCTGCCATCACTGAGGTCCAGGTCCAGGTTGTTGTCCGAGGAGCCCCGACGCATTGACACGGGGAGTAATCCACCCTCCACACTTTGTTCCTGCAGGTAGGGAAAACAAAGACATTCAGAGATAGAAAATGCGTCATAACAGACATCCCAAACCGGCCACTGCTCCCCATTTGAGGCTGCATTGCGAGCAACAAGGGTCTACAACGTCTTCCCTAAAGACGCCTCCACATGTAGCCTGGCACTGGCACTGAACTTATATCATATCAAACCAGCACATATTTTCATTAACAATAACATCCACCAGTGTGCATACATAATATCTAACAAAGTCAGTTGGTGCTCGGTTTTAATGCCGACACCATGAGGCCATCTGGGTGTGTCTCTAATGCTCTTGTTTGGCACATCTGCTGCTTTTTAAGAGCCGGGCTTTAATCCCGTTTGTTTATGGTATTAACACACTCGACACAGATGACAACATGCAGATTACAGCTATGAAATATTTCAGAAAGAAGTGGAGCATGTACATCGGATGTAGGTCAGTGACAATGTCACACAAAGCCATAAGACACAGAAAATCCCTTCTCCAGACACTGTTCCCCTCTTCTGCCATTAATTACCCTTTCTCCTCAGAAAAGAGTTCAATGCCCTGTACAGAACTACGACATCTCCTGGGCAGATTTGAGGAAGTAAAGCGTGACATGTAAGGTTCCAGTAAGCAGTCTAAACCATGATGGGAAACCAGAGGGTTGTTCTATAAGAGGAAACTTCTGAAGAGAGGCAGAGCCCTGCTTTAATTAGGTTTCGTAACATTTAAAGAGAAGTGTTAACAAGACTGCAGTTGCGGCCAACATAGCATTTCTGAAAGTTGATAACATCAGCACCAGTGTGAGGATAAAGCGAAAGCTGTAAAGCCTAATGCAAAATGTTGTACAACAGCTACAAAGCAGAACTAATCCTTCACCAATGGAACACTGCTATTCAAGCAAATAAACACAATACAGCCAACTCAAGCGGACTTACTGTATGACTCAATACAACTCGGCTTTCAAACATCACTGTGTAACGGCCACATGATGCAAGCAGAGTACCTTCACGTTTAATGAATGCATCTACTAACGCTCCTCAACACATGGCTGCCATGTGGGATTCAAGAGTTAACCTCTAACATGTTATATAACTAGATGTATCCTGCTGGGCACAGTGTGCAGGAGGTTCCTCTCTGCACACTGTGGAAATTCAGTTTTATCCAATCATGCATGCACATTCCATTTGGTGACAAGTAAAACCATGAACTCAACCTGCTGAACAGGTTTGAGGGAAATGCTCTGCACACAAAGGACATGTTGTGTCACCTCTGAGATCCTGAATTTATCACTAGAATGCCTGTCACAAATCTGTCGGCACAGAAGCTTCTTTGTGTCTTCTGTATGGACGACAGCACTGGATTACCGATTTGTCTCACATGGATTTGTTCCTCACATCTCACAGATTTATTCAAGTCCAATGTCAGTTGCTGCTTTCGATTTGTGTGTGATGAGGACATGTAAAGATACTGAGGGTTTCTGAAATAGAAATGCCTCTGAACTAACAGAGACTCAGAGTAGTAAGCATCTGTCTGCGATCAGTAGATTTGCCAAAGTACTTCTGGATCCCCTAAATATTTTATTTGGGTCAAATTTGAGAGGTAATATGTCTTAAGATGTCTTTAGCAGGTTTAGACTATTCCAATCATTGCCATTCATTGTACATTTGCTGTTTAATTAATAAAGAGGAAGAATATCTCTCCTTCCTGGTCATTTTAGGCAACATAGGAGCAACACTGATTACGCTAACCTTTTTTTTAAAGAAAAACAAATGTTAAAACAATATAAAATGTGTGTATGCATAGTAAAGACAGTCCCAACAAAAAGGCAGGTCCTAAAGCATGCTTATAAGTGTTTTGCATCTGTGATGATCTCTAAAGTTGGAGCAAAATTTTCTCACACAAATGAGTCATTTCACTAGGCTTCAAGCGCCTAATATTCTATACTTTTTATGTTCATTGTCTCTGCAGAGAATTCCACGGTTATGCCAGGGGCACTTCAGCCTCTGTTCTCATCCCACCCTCTCTGGCTTCCGTCCTCCTCGTACACAGAACTCCCTCTGTGCAGAGGGAAAAAAGCTCACTTTGTCATGTCCTACCTCTGCTCTGTCCACGACCGAGCTGCTGCATATGGATTCACTGGCCTGACGTATAGCGTCCAATCGCTTCCCGGCTCCGTTCAAAGTGCAGTCCTGTCTAAGCCGTTCTCAAATACAGTCAGCTGGCCCTTTTTCGTCAAACCTGTTTGCCACACAGATGAAAGAGCACCTCCGTCTTCGAGAAACCGGTACGAGGCAGACTGCTGTGTAGGGTTCTCAAATAAACAAGTCGTTTCAGGCTTTTCAGATTCCGAATGACAAACATAAAGAACTGCCTGTTCCGTCAGAATAAGCTACTTCTGCTCAGTGGAACTAAGCCGAGGCGTCACGGAGCCTCCTCCCTCTAACGCTCACTTTGAAATGGTCTTCGCTGTGGCCAAAAAAGAACTACGGCTGTCAAAGTTCACAACTTCTAGGTTCTTTGAAATATGTGGTCTCAGTGTAAAATAGATCAAACAGCCACCCGGGAACTATCTCAGACTGGCAAGACCCGGATGGGACAGGATTGTTTGGAAGAGATAGCCCGTAGAGCCTCCATATTTACACGTCCCTGGTGCAGGACATTCCTCGCCGAATTGTGGTGCGCAGCTGGGCCAAGATGCAAACAATTCTCAAAACAAAAACCAGGAGGACGTTTGACGAGATGGGGCCCGATTCATGAGATCAATTCACGAACAGGAATTACTCGGGATTTTTCTTTCCACAGACCACACTTAACAGCGAGCAGGGCGCAGCATCAGCCACTTTTTCTGATGAGAGATTTGATTTAATCGCACCATTTCCCCTTTTCCCGTTAACGCGGCGGCAACTCAAGATTTCCACTCACTCTGCCCAACTGCAGGTGCAATCAGAATGTTTTCCTGGTTGAGTGGCTCTGCTTAAATGAAGCAGACTCACGCTGATCGAAATGGCCTTCCAAATGTGCATCGGGGGCCGTCCCACTTTTCACTCTTCTGCAAACACTCAGAGCTGGCAGGGTGCAGAAAGGGAAGTGTTGAAGATTTCTCGTGTCTGATGAAATAAAAAAGGGGGGGAGGGGGTGCTTTTTAGCCCAGTAACAAAGGGGAAAGCAGCCCCAGCACAGCAGCAGCTAAGCCCAGTTACATGAGCAGCTCTGAACTGAAAGGTCACCTGTTTAAACCAGGTTGTTTGGGATGAGATGGAATGACCACCCATGGCTCTGCGTACTCCTGAGCAACAGGATCAGCTCCTGGCAAAGCTGGTCTCTCTCTTTAAAGACTCTGGGATTCTCTGAGTTCTAGAATATTGTTGTGAAAAGTCCAAAATCTTATTTCTGAAATTTGTTCGCCAGACGAAAAGAAAGAAAATAGACAGACAGTGGGAGGGTAGTCGGTCAAAAGTGCACCGCAGATGCTGCCACAGATAGGAAGTAGAACAAAAAGAAACAATGAGGCCCCTACAGCACACATCACCCCAATCATCATCATCATCAGTTCCACCACCAGGATCTGCTGTGGCTGTGTCCTACATAGCACAAAGCGTCTGTCCAACACCATGACCTATTTAATATGATCTGAGCCCTTCAGACAGCATAATGTAAAGACTTACGCTATCTGCGTTAGCCTAAATTTGAACCCGATAAAGGCAAAGCTGTGTGTTGTCATGCTCAAGAAATCCGCTCCCGATCTCATCTGAACCTTGGAGGCCAGAGCGGTGGATAAAGACCTGCAGATGCACTGCAGTCTGCAGCTTGGATCAGTCAGCTAGCGATTCAATTTTTCATGCAAAAGCGGTGCTCATCCTCCACTGCAGCACCAGAGGGAAAGAGTCAGGGCAGCGATTCCGAGCCAAGTCCTGAGCCAGAGCAGGGATGCAAGCTCACAAATTATTCAAAACTGGGGCGGTTTTGCAGCGGCTGTTGCCCAACTCCTGTGGAGTCATGGTAAAATAAATATTGATTCAGATTAGCAGAATGTACAGAAAGAACGTTTTTTTTTTTTTTTGGCCTAACTGGTTTTCTGCCTCTCGTTTAGGGGAACATTATCAGTACCGCAAACTTCTTCTTATGCAAACAGCAACTCAGTGTCCCCTCGACGAGGAAGTGATGTTTGTACATTCTCTCGATCGCAGCTGTGATCTTTTGAAACCACAGCGCCGGGTGGTGCAGACACACACACTGACACATGCAAATACAGGCCCAGGTGCTGGGAATGGCCGGCAGAAATGTTCATCTCAGCAACAAGGCACACCAAGTGGCACTTATCAAAGAGCTGTGTCATTGCTTGTGGCTGGGCGTCCCGTATAAGCTCTCAAGAAAATAAGAGCTGGCAGCCTGTCGGGGATGGAACAAAACCGTCCCTTCAGCAGAGAACAGAACCGCAGTGGGGAAGAAGCCTTCGCTGCTTATTGGTATTCCCCTCCAGCTGATACGCATGGATAAAGACCCTCTCCCAGAGCCAGGACTCACACGGGGAAGGGTGGAGAAAGCAGAGGCAGAGGGCAACATCGTTCATTTTAGTCAAAAAGCTGACCCCACATCTCCTCCTCCTTCTCTCATCTGCATCCACAACTGCCTGAGAAGCTAAACTCTTCACATCTGAAGAGAAGCAGACCAAAAAAAACAACAGCAACAGAGTTTGAAATCTTAGGTTTCCTGAATAAATAATCCCCAAAAGATCGGGTGAATAAATTGCTGTAGGCATATTCACTATAATCACAGACACAAGCTGGTGCGGGACTAAATCAATAATCCATTACCCCTTCTATTGTGTGCTTGCTGAGCATTGAGTGGTTTTCAATCAAAGTAAATATGCAGGTACAGTCAAGGTACTGATCCAAAAAGAGAGGAAGAACACGATGTCCAAAGCACCTGCTTAACTCTGAAAAACAAACTATATAAAAGTTACAATCTACTAATCCGACAAATCTTATTGTAGAACAACAACTCAATAAAAACACATTCAAAGCGTGCTGGGCAGACTGGTTTCATAAACCTCCACAGAGGCACCGTTCACTTTGGGTAAAGAGAGTTTATGGAACCAAGTCATGAAACCCTGGACGTTGCATCATCCTTGGCCTCTAACCCACTAGATCTGCTGCATAATGGCTTTCTGAGGAACAAATCTGGAATGTCATCTGAGGCCAACGGGACGAGAAAAAAAGAACAGCCCAGTCCATTCACAATAACTCAAATGTGTTGTTCCATTACACTGATTTCGTGATTGTGCGGCGGGCTAAGATGATTTGAGCGTGAATCTCTGGAGCTCTACTCCTGTGGAAAAGAATTTCATTCACTCACAGGATTACGCGTTTATTCAATCCAGTCTGTCACAGGGCGGGAGATGAGTTCTAAAAGTTGCTAGGAAGCCCCTCGGACGCCTGATGGACCGAAGCCTGACTGTGACCTCTGGAGACTAACAGTCCCCCCAACTCGGATCTGGAGGCTGATACTGGAAAAGTAGAATTTCTGGTTGTTCGAGAATCCTGCATTTTTCCTCCTAACTGTCACTGCCACTCACAGCTCCTGCTTCAAATACTTTTTTTTAGCAGGTTTGTCACAACCAACGGGGATTTTTCAACCGCTCAATCACTGCCATCACAAGATGCTTTAGGGCTTAAAAACCTGTTTTAGTTTTACGGGGAAAAAACATTTTTGGGAGTTTCCTTATTCAAATTCAAACATCTACAGATAAGCCGGGTCAATTCTTCCACAGCTTTTAACAGTGAGGGGGGAAAAAACAGGTTACAAAATGTGGAAATACTCTTTTAACTTGACTTGACTTGCAACTACATTACCCAAGTAACCAAAATATTACCTTACACTATACAATCCTTTTAATTTGGTCAACATTTAAAGATTTTCCACAACACATACAAATATTCTGTGCGCCCGTAAAAAAAATAATTATGGGACCATAATAATGCAAAGGAAAGAAAACATCACACGCCTTCTCTTTTTCTTTGCAACCACAGCTAAATAAATTATTAGTTCAATTGTTATCTAATGTCAAAAACACATCTGGCATGGGCAGATAAGCACGTTCAGTGTGACTCTGGACAAACTTGGTCAGGCTCTGAGTCACTGAGTCGCCGCAGAAACAGAAACCACCACACCTTGGCACACAGATTGCCAGATCTTTCAGTTCCTGTTTATACTTTTAATTGCGTTGTTTTGGCGTGAACTCCACCTGTTGTGATGGACTTGGTGACATCATTAAATATTGTTTGTTTCAAATGTGGCAGGAAGTCAAACTATAGCCTAAAAACATGACAGCACAGAGGGTCAACATCCATAAGAAATAACTAATTAAAAAAAACAAACAGATAGATAGATAGATAGATAGATAGATAGATAGATAGATAGATAGA